CCTTCAAGGCTCCCTGTCACTGTATTCAAGTCGTTCGCAGAACATGAATGACCGACTGGGCTTCGTTCTGCGTTCAGCTCTCTGGGGCTCCCGATTTCCAGACTCCGCTTCTACGGGCCTGTGTTCCGAATCCAGTTCGATCTTGCTGTAGAGAGCAAAAGGACCGGGTGCGATGGCAGATTGGATGGAAGGGGGAGTGGCCGGCCCTCGAGTATACCATTGGCTGTTAGGTCAGTCGTTTGTTCTACCAATGTTCTTCTCACAGACAGAAGACCAGCGGTTCGGCCCCACATAGGACGACGATACCTGCATCCACGTTCAAAAGTACTTCTACGCCGATTCTCTCACGAGGTGGCGAACATCTGGGTGGACGAATTAGGCAATGCTGCCAAGGCACGGTTTAGAGGACAAGGTCTCAGGTCAATCTGATCTACCTCGTCACGTGGTACACCATTGAGATGCACCGAGAAACATTGTCTGTGCCGATTCAAAGTCTCGTAAATCTGTCACTGACGTGTCTGCAGACTGTATTCCTTTATCATGCTGCATGTCGATGCAGACGGCGACGGCCAACTTTCAGAAGAGGAACGGGCGATATTGACTGCGGGGTTGGATGCTTCTGGGGTCACGCGCATACCAGCTGGTGATCGGTCAAGCAAGAACGCGGAATTCGTTCGCCCAGAATCTAGAGGCCGCGGGACTCGAGAGTCCCAGGGAGACAGAATACATTGGCTTGCGGTGGATGGATACCCTCTCGTCTACGGGATCACGAAGAACACCGCACAAGACCAAAAGCCAACGGACCGCCCAGCAAGGGAGCAAACCAGGACTCGTTCTGCACCATCAAGGAGGATCTCTGCTTCCCCGCGGGAAAAAGCGCGCGTGAGATGCTGAAACGGGTCGCTGTCGAAGAGCCGAGATGCGGCGATTGTCTGATTCTGCACATCCTGAGAAGCAGCCCGAGTCAGGGACTGGACAGCTTTTTGCCCAAGACACGCGGGCTGCCGAGGAGAGGGATGCATCTCAATCTGGGTAAGAGGGGATCAGGTCGAGTTTCCATCCGGATTGGGCCGCGAACACATCGTCAATCTGCTGTGAGTGGTTCAACCGCTTTCGATGTCACGTAGTGTGCTCATCCCTGCCCAGACAAAGATACCACTACGCGATCGGGGACTCCCCGATCGCGTTTATCTCTATGCTCCGCCCGGATGACATGCGCAAGCTGCCTACGAAGGCCAGCCCCACCGCTTTTTTGGCCATCAACGACGACCTGAAGAATCCGGGATCAGTGGCTGCTGCGGACCAGCGCCTGGAAGTTTGGTATAAACTAAGGTTTGGCGCGTGGAAAGGTCGATGGGAGAAAGACGAGAGCAGGGACGAGGACGAGGACGACTGGTAGAGCACACATTTGTTGATTTGTACATTATCATTACTGCTTTCTTCATCTGCTCAGGCCTGCTCCGACGCATAAAACTTCATCAGGTCCTGCACATCGTCCCTGCTTCCCAGGAAAACGGGACATCGTTCGTGGATGCTGGTCGGAACAATGTCCAAGATCCGCTTGGTTCCAGTGGTGGCGATGCCTCCGGCCTGAGCACGATACGCGTCACAGAGGAGTGGAGGGCCACAGAACATGCACACACTGCTCGGTCAGGAAGGCCATGGGGAATGCTTCATACAGCAGCCGCAGCTTCCCGCTCTTGCTCTTCTTGTCATCCGGGTAGCCGAAGATGCCCCCGTACAACAGAGTTCGGTGGACATCAGCGACCATGGATCCAATGTAACGAGCGCTGTACGGGGTCTTCGGGGCATTGGGGTATTTGATGGACTTGAGATATGCGTTCACGGGCGGGTGGAAGTACATAGAGTTGCCTCGAGTCCTGGTCAACAGTCGAAGCAGCCTCTCGCTCCATAAGCTCACCTTCATTGAACGAGTAGATCTTGCCCCGCGGCGGTATTTTGATCTAACGAACGTTTAACCATACTAGAGATCGGCAGACACAGCGGCACAAACGTCGGGATGCGTCAGAATGAATTCTCCCAGAGCCGCATCCAGCGTATAGCCGTTCACGCCGAAACCAGTCGAGAGCACCAAGTTCGCAGACGACCCATACCTGGACTAGCATTAAGATGACGTCACAGTGCGGCGATCGCCCAAGATTTACATACATGGTGTATCCGGCGGCGACCATCTCACTGCCGGGCTGGAGGACGTCCTCTACGGACCCGAGAGATCCATCGCGCTGGGACGTGGTTCAACAAAGACGAAGCGGAGCGGGAGGAGTGGGCGACGACGCACCACTTTGTAGATCCCAAAGATCGTCCCGATGTTGACACCCGCGTCGATGTTGCTGCTGCCATCCAGCGGGTCAAACACGACGCAGTACTTCCCCCGGTACTTCTCCTCGATGATGATCGCGTCGTCGAGCTCCTCGGAGACGAGCACGGCGGTCTTCCCGGACGCACGCAATGCGTTCACCATGATGTCTAGCGCGCGATGTCAGACGACGGCGGAACCCGAGCGGGACGTGAAGCCACGCGCCATTTGACAGAACATCGAGTTTCTTCTGCTCTTCGCCCTGCACATTCGTCTCCCCCGCGAGTCCGACGCTGCGCGCAAAGTATCGTGAGCACACGCGCACGCAGTCTGGCACGACAGACGGCGCACAGGTTGATCAGACGCGCTTTACGGACATTCGTCGCGATGAACTTGGAGGTCACTTGGATGGCTGTCAGGAGGAGGGTCAAATCGCCGGTCGCGGTCGTCCCCAGACGGAGCTGATCGCTTAGGACATGACTGCGAAGAACCGTCAGACAATCTGCGTTTTCCTGACCTGAGCAAGGAGGCCCACCGAGTCAGGGTGATGAGATCGACGTTGGGTACCTCTTCAGCAGAGGCCATTGCGGTGTGGACAATGAAGGGATTACAGATTAGGAGCAAGGGGTCAAAGTTTGGACGACACTCAGAACGAGATCCGTGGCGGCCCGGTTCACGTACGTACGGGGTTCCGCGCTTACATAACCGTTGGGTGGGTTCGCAGGTGGTTTGTTATCAACAGAATTTATACGATGTATTTAATCCCTCCAGATTCCGTTAGTGAATGATTAGAATTATACTTAATCTTGGCCGCCCCTGCTGCGACGACCGGGAGGGCTCGTGGTCATGCGCAAGATGGCGTCTTTGGCGGCAACGATCTCCTTCTCACCGCCGAGGATGACGATCGTGTTGTTCTCGCGGCTGACGGTGATGTCCGCGCCGGTCTCGTTGCGCAGTCGGAGAACGTTCGCGCCCTTGGAGCCGACGATGCGCGGGAAGGCGGACCGGTCAGGGAGCGTCAGCAACCCGACGTGCGACATCCGCTCGGCACTGGCAATGGCTTCCTTGACCTGTTTTTCAGCCCGATCCAATCCAGCCTGGTCCTTGGCCCGCAGCGTCCAGACCGAGTCCCCGGCTTCGGCATCCTGGTAGTTGGCGCTCACATCCCACTGGGCAGCCGCGCTGTCGGCCTCTGCCTCGTCGATCCGGGCTGTTCCGTTGCCTGCGGGCTTGGGCTGGCTCACAGCTTTCTTGGGCAGGACAGACTGTTCAACCTGTACTTGCGTCGAAGACCGCAGGTTTCGCAAGAATTCTGGCGGAACTTCAGCATTGATTACGCTAGGTGCGCAACAGAACGTGACTCACGGCCCTGCTGAGAGATTACCGGAACGAACTTGAGGGGCACTACGACCGTCGTCGAGGGACCATCCGCAACGGTGGGCTTGACGGAGGCCTTGAGCTGCTCGATGGCCTTCTCACAGGCAGCACGGGAGCCGGAGACCTTGACGATGTTGGCAGCGTCGACGTCCTTCAGATCGGCCGCATTCGCAGGCTCGCCCGCCTGTGCGTAAGAGCGCGAGCCGGGGAACTGCACTTGCGTGCCGGTCTTGTCCTGCAACTCGTTGAGGTGTTGTCCACCCCGACCAATCAGAGCCCGGTGCTGGCTGGCGGGAATCTCGACAGCGAGCACCACGCGATCACGAAGCTTGGCAACCTCCGCTTCCAGTTCGGCCTTGAGCTTCGCGACCAGCTTCGGCTCACCCCGCAGACGCACTTCATCAGAGGCAGCGTCGGTGGGACGGGGGAACCGGATCAGTCCAGCCTGCACCTTCGGGTCAGACGGTCCACCGGAGCGCAGGACGAGTTCCTTCAGGCCTTGTCCCCCAGCACCAATCAGGGTGCGGTGGAACTTGCTCTCGATGGTCAGCACGACTGTCGTTTCCTCAGTCACAGTCTCTGAGATCGCTAGGATCGCAGCCTTGGCCTCGGCAACAGCCTTCTTGGTTCCACGCAGACTGATGGTCGTGACCGCAGATTCTTCCGAAGCCTTGTCCACGTCGATTTGCGCGCCAGTCGAGTCCTTGATCTCATTGATGGAGGCACCGCCACGACCGAGGATACGAGCAACGGCGCGGTTCGGCACAGTGAAGCTTGACGTCTGGTTGGACTCCTTTTCGAACTCATACGCCTCCATGAGCTCTGCTTTGGCCTGGGCAACGCCCTTCTTGCCACCCTTGACGAGCACCTCGTCGGACTTGAGTGACTCCCGGGTCTTGCCTTCGGCGTTGTCGGCCTGGCGGGGGAAGGTGATTTTGACGTTGTACTTTTCCTCGAGACGGATCGCATATTTCCCGCTCGAGCCGATCAGCGACGAGTGGAACTGGCTGGGAATCTTGAGGACTTCCGACGTTTCGTCCGCCAGCCTGTCCACCTGTGCCAGAATGCGCTTTTTGGCCTCTTCGACATTTTCCTTCCGACCGGTGATTTTGACCTTGGTGAACTTGGAGTGTGCAGCCTTCTTCTTTTTCCCGGCAACATCTTTCTCCTTTTCGTCGGCCTCGTCCGACAGATCCACTTTGACACCCAGGACATCCCGGAGCTTGTTCACTCCTGCACCCTGAGCACCGACAATCCGACCAACATATTCCCGTTCAATGTCAAAGTCCGTAGACTACAAATCTATGAGCGTCGTGGAAAGCTTGAACAACATGAACTCACGAAGCTGCTGACGATCTCATCGTTTTTGGCACTCTCGACGATGGCAGTAATCTCCTTGATGGCGCGTTCGACGTCGCCAGCGGCACCGCGCAGGACGATGACGTCTTCACCCGACGGGTCTTGAGCGTCCGCACCAACCTTGATCGACAGGGCCTTGTCCTCGCCAATGATGCTGTACTCGGTCAGTCCCATTCTGTGGGGTTGAAAAGCTGGAACGCACGCGTTGAGAGTCGTTCCGCCTCTGCCAACGACAGCTTCGTGCCAGCGTTTTTCGACAGGAATCGTCTCACTCTTGACATCAGCGGCGTCCTTGGCGAACTTGAGAATCTCTTTCGCGACTTCCTCCAGACTTTTGTTCTTGTCGTCCGGGAGAGGAGATGCCTTCGCCGAAAGCGGATCATAGACCAACAGAACAGAAGACTGTTCAGCAGTCTCGGGCGGGAAAAAGACCTGAACATTCTGCACGTCGTGGAACTGCTTCAGCTTCTTAGCGTTCTTGCCCGTGATCACGCGATGAAGCAGCCAGTCAAGCTGCACCTCCCGAGTAGCACCGATGAGCTTGCCGATCAGTCCTGAGACCTGTCGGACAGCCTCATCGACGTCAGCCTTGTTTCCGATGAGGTCAATATTGAGAATCGAGGCTTTGTCGACGACGCTGGGCTCGGGAGTATAGACGGTGACGCCAGGGTGCGCAGCACTCAGCGTCTTCGGGTAGTTGATCCGGATCATATACGTAAGCAACTGCTTCGAAAGCGCAGTCGGACCAGGAAGCGGGAACTCGTGGATGTACTGCGAGTTAGCCTTGCTCATGACTGCGCCGAGACCGGCAGCCAGATCAGCGCTCGCGCCCCATACGGTCACTTCGTCGCTCTGCTCCTCGGGTTTGGCGACCGAGACAACGCAGCGAGTCTCCTTGACGATTTCACCAACGGTCTTGCCGATGAGCAGTCGATGCTGACGCTTCGGCAACTGGATCTTCAGTGACGTGAGACTGCTGCCGTATTCAACGATGGCACCCTTGATAGCCTCAACAACGCGCACAACCGGCTCGCGGTCACCGCTGATCGTCAGGTCGCGGCCAGCAAGCGTGAACTTGAGCTCTTGACCGGGGCCAGCGAAGGCCTCAAACTCAGCTCGGCGAGAGGTGACAAACGGAAGGATGTGCGCAGGGATGTCCCGAACTCGTTGGGTAGTCTTGGAAGTCTTCGTCGAGATAACTTGATTAATCAGAGCCTGCGCTTCCTCGGCCAGGGGCTGTGGGCCAGTAAGAGTGATGGGGACCGTCGGCTCCTCGTCTTCATCCTCGTTAATGTGTCCGTTCCCATTAATAGTAGCCGTGTTGCGAGGGGGTATGTCGACCTGAACACCGGTTTGATCACGAATCTGCTTGAGCGTGGCACCTGATGGGCAAAGTTAAGCACAGTAGACTGCAGCCCTTTGTAAAGAATTACCTTTGGGGCCAATGATCGTCGCAATAGTAGATGCAGGCGCGTTAAGGGTCAGAGTAACCTGCGTGTGGCCTAAGCCACCTCCTTGGAATGAAATGTAGCACTCGACACACCACCGGGCTGAGCAACGCCAGCAGGCTCCGTTTAGCCTTGTCGAGCTCCTTTTGCGAATCCGCCTTCATATGGAAAGTGGTCTGCCGGGTCTTCTGATTGGTCGAAGCCTCGACGCGGACTTTGTTGTACTTCCCCATGATCTGCTTCAGAACCTCACCAAGCGAGGCAGACTTGCCGTCCTTGCCGCTGTTCGAAAGGTCCATCGAGCCGATGGTGAACGAGTCCGCAAAAATCGGGACTTGCTTGATGACAGGCTTGGGACGCGCAGCCCATGCCGATTTGGCTGGGGCAGAGACGGGGGCCGTAGAGGGAGCCAAAGACGGGAAAGCGGTTTGAGAGTCTGTGTCCAGTTCCTCTGTGCGCTGCTGACGAGCCTTGGGGGCAGACGGTTCATGCAAGCTGGGGAATGGGTCCGGAGCGCCTTCTAGGTGGTGCCTCCGTTGGAGGTCGGCGGCTGAGAGAGCCATGGGTGTCCGAAATGCGATAAGCCTTGACGGGGGGAGAACCTGGACGAGTGTGAATCGACCAGCGAAAGACCGGTTGAGTTGGTGGTGGAAGTAAGAAAGAAAGGTTTGATTTGTGACCCCAACTTTTCGTGACGTTGCAGATTCTTCGCCTCGCGAGATGAACTCTCCCACACGGAGATGTATAGACGAACGTGGTCATTCCATCTACTGCGAGTCTGAGGTGCTCAGAAAGTGACACGTATGGGAAGAGAGTGCAGTGTACGTGTTGTCACGTAGGAATTACTAAACACACGGCGCTGAACTGCGAAAGGAAATGGCTGTGGTGTTACATATATAGGGAACAAAAAGCATGGCTCAAGGGCATATGATTCCACACAACGAAGCAGACGACGTACGTGTCCAAGAAACGGACGATTCATTGTCCGACGTCGGTCGCGACTGGGCAGTCGCCGACCTTCCAGAAGGCGGATCAGCGATCAGGGGCCCAGTGCGGACACGTTGTCCTCACGTGCTGTATAAGCAGGAGGGCCTGGACTCGCATTGAACTCGACCGAGTGCACGTTTGTTAGTACAGGACTGGGGGGAATCAGCCCGGGAGGACACCTCGACTGGCTAATAGCCAGTTCTTGCCCCGTGAAACTATCGTTCATTGTCGCCGACTCTGCGGCACCATCCGCAGCAAGGAGGATTGTATTCATTGTCTGCCCTGTGGATGGGGTCGAAGCAGAATGAGACTAGAAAATCCTCAGGTGAGATATCGGGGCAAACATCGAAGCGCACTGGAGGTTCCACGTGGATGGCTGGGACGCTCGACGACCTACTACGATGACTGCGCATCCAAGAGAAAAGTGTTCTCCCCCGGTTATCGTCTGATATGAGGTGTGTCACTGGCGGCCCAATCATAGGCAACGGAAGCCGTCCTAAATCGATCGGAAGCACGATCTCGCGCGGCCGGTGTCTTTCGATCTGAACTGCTCCCAGCGGCACCTTTGAGAAAATGGTGAGGATTTTACTAAATCGTCAAAACATTTGAAGACGAACGGTTTCCGCTCTCCGTTGGTGTTCAGCTAAGTTGGGCTGACTGAGAACGTCGTAGTGTGAAAAGGAGGTTGACACATTTGAACTGGCCCGCCGCCGGCCGTCCCGCGTAGATGTTTCGGAATCTTCATCCTCCGATCTCTCAGTTGCCGGTCGGCTCAAAACATGTGGTGGCGGTAACGATAATATCAAGTCCGGTCCGACAGTTGGGATGAATCCATCAGGAAGGGTGGGATGACTAGATCGCCGGGACCTGGCCCTGCTCGGAGCACGAGTACTCGCTGCTCTCTCAGAAACTGCGTCATTATGACTTGGAAACGCAGTCGGGGTCTCAGGAAGAGGTCGAGATCGTTTGATATCAGGTCTTGACGTCGTTGAACGAGCAGACCTTCTGGAGGGACCCGGTGCGGCTTGAGGCCTGTCTGCTGCTTGTGATTCCAGACGTGAGAGAACCTCGTGATTGCTGGGTACCACCGGAACTGGAGGGCGAGAGATTATAGACGATGTCGATCTAAAATCTCGAGTGTGAGCATCGTCGTATTCCAGAGAGGAGACAACAAATACTTGATCGACGCAGGTTGGTTGGAATGCGTAGATGTCAAAGAGGAGCCTTCGACGATTGCTGGAGCGTCCGCCCATCGGCGAGCCTCCTTCAAGCCCTGCCGGTACCCTTCGTCTCTGCCCTCTTCTCTGGCAACCCAGATTGCTCGCTCCGACGCCAACTTCCTGGCAAGTGACTCATGTTGAGCCGCCTGTTCCTCAGCATCGGCCCTCGCCCTCTCCACCTCATCCACGATTTTCTGCGCCCGGAAGATCTCTTTCTGTGCAATATCGAGCTGGCACTTGTACATCTCTAATTCTTGTCGCACTGCTGCTAGCTCACGCCTGGACTTGTCCCGATCTTCAACCAGTGTTCGAAGATGCGCCAGTAGATCGGAGCACTGGAGCTCCAGCTCTTTAGCGCGTCTGGCTTCAGACCGTAGACGTTCAGTTGTGACCAGGAGCAGATTGGATATGGAACTACTCGTGCGTGACCGATGGCCATGAGCGCGCGACGAAGGCCGAGGGACATCTTCTTTGTCGCCGATCTTGGATGATTCGCCGGGTTCAGGATGGTAAGGATCGGTTGTCTTCGGTCTCAATGGCGATGCGGGACTTGTCAAGCTTGCATATCATGACTCGATTGCGGAGCAGAGGTCCCAAGTTTGAAAGCACTCACTGTTCGTAGAATCGACCCTGGGTGGTCATGGACAGCGTATACGATGAAAGCTTGAACAGGGCTGGAAAGACAAGCGAGCCTCACGAGAAGAGCATTATAAGTTGCCACTGAGTGCGAGGCGAAGGATCATGATCGTTAAGGTTCGGTGAGGCGGTCTCAATTGGTTCGTGTACTGCTCGTGGGATACACGTGGCAGAAAGGGAGAGAGAGATAAAGTGAAAGATCTGTTTGGAAGCAGAGTGCTTTCGATGACACAGAACGGTGAGAACACCTTCGAGACCGACAGTCACAATGTATCGGGGTCCAGAACAACTTGGAGGGGAAGATGAATTGATGGACATCGTGATGGACATCAATTGCTCTTGTAGTTTGAAACCTCCGAACTCTGCTGGTATGGCCTGGCCGCACGGCATACGACGTACGCTCTCTGCCCCAAGATCTGAGGCTTGATAGCAAATCTAGATGTCTGAGTTTTCTTCGAAAAGCCTAGAGAACTATGTACTGAGGATGGTCGTCGCGAGACACAGAAGGGATGTGGGACGTCACCTTGATCCAACCTTTTCCAAGTCGGTCCAGTTGGATGTCCTGTGTACTTCGATCCTGTAACCGAATAATGAAAAGGAAAATGCGCCTCCTTGTGCATCCACTCAAACGGGAATCATGCCGCAAAGACTCCGGCGCTAACGGCAACTGGTACTTGAGGCGCTAAGCGTCGGTTGGTTCATATGTCTGTACACACATATTGGCGCCTTCAATGCGACAGAAAACATTCACTGCGGTTGTTAGGGTCATTGACCTTAGACAGCCTTAGACTCTTTGTCGAATGATGACAAGGGCTGGCATAGCCTAGATCCACGTGGCGCGACGTGGCTCCTCTGCAAACTTCCAACAACACAGCCTAGGTCATTCCCGAGCTTGCTTACCTATTTCCAATGCGCATTATATAGCCGGTCTACACGGTCATACATTCCTATTTACCCCCCATGCGCACAACTCCGCTGTGTAAAGCAGCGCTCATACTGCAACTATGCTGGTCCACCGCCTCCCTGGCTGATTCCCTACTCTCTGGCGGCCTACACCGCAGTCCGATCGCGAGGGTGTTGGACGCCCAGCCCATCCGAGATGTAGATTGCAAGAACTCTAACGTGCGTGTCAGTCCCGCTTGATGCGGTCAACGTCGAGGATTGACCTCTCTGCTATACAGCCTACCGGCCCCATCGACACAACGTACTGTGACTTCGAGACGGTAGAAAGCGTGAACGAGCAACTCTTTGACAACCTGCATGAATTGGTGGCGACGCCGTTCTTCAAGTACTTCCAGGTGCGTGCCAGAGATGGGCCGTCCGCCAGCAATGAAGGCACTCACTGACTCGCTGATCCGTAGGCCGACCTATATCGCGAGTGCCCATTCTGGTCCGACGACGGACTATGCAGTGACCCGGGGTGCGCCATCACAACTGTCGACGAGGTGCGCTGGATACACCCTCGAGCCGCTGTACTTGCTAACATTTTCTGGAGAGCGAAGTCCCTGAGAGATGGCGCGCGACCTCGCTCAGCCGTCTGACCGGTCGAGTGGATGATGTATGTGCTGATCTCAATCCATGTCTAAATGGTAATCTCATTTCGTGTGCAGCGACATCAACTCCCAGGTTGCTACTACCGCGATTCAGATTTTTGCTTCCTCGATGATAACACCGAAGGCGAATACTACGACCTCACGCTGATTCCGGAACGCTACACCGGGTATTCTGGTCCCTCAGCTGCTCGGGTATGGAGGTCGATCTATGAAGAGAATTGCTTCGGGCTATCGGAAATGGCTTTACACTCCGGCCCGAATCCGGCCCCAGTGAGCTTGCCTCAGAGCATGTCAGAGGCGTTCGGAGGCGATACCCCGGCCCAGTGCCTAGAGAAAAGGGTCTACTACAAAGTCATCTCGGGTGAGTGACTAGGCGGTGGTACACTACGACAAGCGGCTGAACGACTCAGGATTGCATGCGTCGATATCCACCCATATCTGTCAAGAATACCTTAATCAGACGACCGGAGAATGGGTATGTTTCTGCTGCATCTTCTCTCGTTTTTCTCACGCGACCGGCACAGAGTCCCAACCTACAATGTTTCATCAACCGAATCGGAGCACATCCTGAGCGATTGGAGTACATTTACTTCAACACTGTTCTCTTATTGCGTGCTATGGCACGCATAGGACCCTACCTCGAAGCCTTTGACTACTGCTCGACGGGGACGCACGAAGACGACGCCGAGACGCTTACGAAGCTCCGAGCTGTTGTGGGCATTGCACAGCACGCAGGGCAATTCGATGAGACGGTGTTGTTCCGAGGGGAGAATGCCAACGTCAGTGTCTTTCCATCGCTGGGTCGAGATCGTGCATTGATTCTTCCGACAGGTTTTGAAAGAGGAATTCAAGTCTCATTTCCGCAACGTTACCCGGATCATGGATTGCATCGGATGCGACAAATGCCGACTCTGGGGCAAGATTCAGACCACAGGAGTTGCCACTGCACTCAAAATCCTGTTCGAGCTCGATGAAAAGACGCTCGATCCTAAAGTGAACAGCAATCTGCTCTCGCGGTCAGAAGTAGTCGCGCTGGTCAACACGTTGCACCGCTTCAGCGAGAGTCTGTCTGCAGTCGAGGGCTTCAGAAAAATGTGGCGGGCGACTAGTGCTGAGGAGAGCGAGAGGCTGATCCTGCAAGCGGAAAAAGATGGAGCATCTCCTACCAGCCGAGTGCGTTTGCTCTTTCTTGCGTGGTGTTTATGCAGCTGATTTGCGCCAGCAACGCTCCCCTTCACCATTTGCAGACGGCACCGCACCAGAATTACCGCTGACGCGATGGTTGCGGGTCTGCAAGCGAAGCACGGTCGAATGTGTCGAGATGCTGCTGGACATGTGGAAGAGAGGTGTCAGTGCGCTTGCCGCGGTGTTCGCCACGTCAGGAAAAGACCGCGGACCGGCTGGATTTGAGTTATAGGGCGAAGGACGTATTTATGGCCATAAATGTATAAGCATCACATCATAAGACTGCCTAATCCACCTTGCACATACGCCATCGGCTTCATTGGAGGATGCGGCGAGGCATTGAATTGCGTGTATTTCTGGTTCCCAGCCGAGTCAATCCGGATCTGTGCCAAGGAAGACAGTCAGAAACAGTGGATTCGAGAGCGTGGACACCTACAAAAGCGCCTTTGTTACCGCCTTGATCAACATAATTGGGGGCAGAGAACACCTGTGCTGTGTCAGCAGGCATCCAGATCAGGAAGCAATTCAGTTTACCGTAGTGCACAAGCCATCATGCTCTACCTCATATCCATCTATATGCAAAATTGAGCGCGATGTGATTCGGAGCTCGAAGCTGCGTACCTTGTCGAACTTCGTGGCTGCGTATGATACCAGTCACACCATTCAGCGTGCACCATCGTCGAGTGACATCAGGCCCAAAAGCAATACCGACACCCTGTTCGCACGATTCAGCGTCGAAAAGAGGCGACGAGGGATGAAACAGCTACGCGTTTGCTGGGACCTCGTCCGGGTAGCATCTGCGGGTCCGTCCAGAGTAACTGATAGACAGCCTGTCAGCGAACTGCCATCCAAGGTTCAGCTACTCGCGCCTCACCTCGCACATGAGACCTTCCTGGCCTGGCTGACGTCCCACACGGTCTACCTTCCGGATATCCTCTAATGTCACATCATCTTTACTGAACAGGCCACCGTGCACGACAAAATATCGCTTGAAGCCCTGAGGAGAAAGGATGGGGTTTCCAGTTTTGTTTGGTGGGGGTTTCGTTGCAGAGATTAATGTAGACAGCGGCACTGGTCTGCCGTTAGATTCCATGTTTATTCTTGGAAGACGAAGCTTACGGGTCGTGAAAACGTGGGCGAATAGCTACGAGACAAGATTAGGCGGTGTGTCACAGATGGAACTTCCAGAACAGACCTTGTAGCTTTGCTCCCCATGTTTGTGTTTCGCTTCCCCCTCGAATCCGTATGAGCGGTTCATATCTTTAGCCTCGTGGTTTCCGCGATTGATGTAGAAGTATTTCGGATACAACCCTGTTCGTCGCCCTTAGCAGAGTCGGGCGAGGTTGCTGATTGCCCCTTACATTTGAAGGCAAATGCAGTTAGGATGACCTCAATAGACCAAGAACCTCGGTCAACTAGATCTCCGTTCATCAGTAGATAGTGTGTAGCACTAGGTTCGCCAGTCAACGAGAACAAATGAAGCATGTCGTAGAATTGGCCTGAGAGTCGATGAGAGAGAGATAGAAAAAGGTTTGCAGACCACAGGCGCACCGTGTACATCCCCGATAACATCGCAAGTCACCCCATCCGCAAGGTCGACACTGACCAAACTGTCCTCCTTGGCGAAATGGTCGTGTGCACCGAACACGATTTCCCAAACATATCGCTTGGGCAACGCTTTGCCGTCCTTGAACCATTGGATCATCTCCTTGATGAATCCATGTGTGATACCGTATTTCCCCTCCGTCAACGTCAGTTTGGGCCCGGTATAAGACTTGTCCACTTCGCAACCGCCTGGGAATCGTTTGCGAGAGGAGGACTTCGATTGAATTCGAGCACACCTTCCGCAATTATCTCCTGGCATCTCAAAAGCGCATCCTTCTCGCCTTCGACCTCGATAGCCTGTTATCTGGGCCTCAGCATCCCAGCGCATCACAAGCCCGGAGCAACCTGCCTTCTCGAATTCAATCCTCCTCACGAGCTTCTGCGTAGCGACCATTTGCGAGCGGACCGTGTCATTCTTGGGCTCCAGAGCTAGCACTTTCCGGAAGTCCGCGACAGCCATCTGGGGTTTCAAGATTTGCAGATAACATGTCGCGCGACTGGTTTGCGGGAAGAGGTGGGTTTCATATTCGACATAGCATTTGTGTGCACGCACCGGAAGTATGCCTTGGCATATTTCGGGTCGAGCTGGATGGCCTGGCCTGTTTCGCTGCATTGAGCACTCCGATTGCACCCGTAACCTACTGGCAGCACTGATGATGTGCAGCGAAGGTCAACTCACTAGCATCGGTCAGGGCGTATCCAAATTCTTCTAGCTTCATCCGACTATAGGCCCGATTACACCATATTGTCGCGTCGCTGGGATTCTTCTCGATCGCCTCGGAATAGAGTTTCGCAGCGTTGGGGAAATCGTGCGCTGTGTGTCACGGATGGAGAACCGTGAGTCAGTCGGTCTTAGGATGGTGGAGGGGGAACAGCAGGGTCGCACATGTGAAAGCCTTGTTTGCTTGGGTCTTCAAAGCGGCGGCGGCGGCTTTGTCTTCATCTGAGACTTCGATGCTTAGGGCCTGGAGCTGGGGTGAAGGAGCGGATGATGGAGGAGTAGAGGCTGTGAGTGCGGGGGAAGTGGGCTCTGACGAAGTTTCTGACATGGTCGAGACGCGTAGATAATTTTGTGGCAATCAAAGTCAATGGGAAAGAGGTGATCGTTCATTCCCACGGTCAGATCAAGGTATTGAAGTGAGCCTGTATCTGGGACGACGCCTGCAGACTTGCGCGTTGTAGACACTATCGTCCGACTAATTAGTTTAAGTAGCCACAGAGCCCTGTTGCCCTCAGTTGTGAGTTTCGCTGTTGATTCTATCCGTCTGGATGAGGGACAACATCACGATTTATGAGAAAAGTCTGATTCGCAGAGTTGCATGGATACTATTCGTGGTCTCCAGGTATTGATCGCATGGACTGTACGCGATTTCGCAGAATTATATGAAGAGACTGGGAGCAAATGTATCGCGATGATGCAGGACTCAACGAACGGCACTTGTGGAGATGTACACTTTCCGGTAGCGCGAGACGCAATGACGTGGACGGTGAAAACATGCGGTGAATACTGTGGGTAGTCAAGATCATTGCAGGGTAGTGGAGTAAGGTAGGCCCCAGCCTATGGTGGATGAGCCGTAAATAAATCCTGGCCGCGGGCGAGCATCAAGATTCAACAGTGTCAAAAATTGTCAAGATGGATGCGCATGGCTGTGCGCTAGATAACGTTGTGGCGGTGCATTCGCTGCTCTAATGATCGGCCCTCGAGTTTCCTCCTCGACTGACCAACGGTCTTCGCAGGAGGGAATCTGATACGTGAGATGGTAGAGGGCAAAATGGATTTTCAAACAAAGGCATATTCTGGTCATCGGCTGCCTGCCATGTCGCCTCAGGAGGTTGATCAAACAAGATGCTTACATGCACGCATACCGCGGAAGCAACCGATGCTCAATTTAAATACGGCAAGGTTTCGCCAGAGCATGTGCTTTTTGCGTCAGCTTATCTTGCCGCTACCCAAGTCCAGTGTTTGCGTGTACGAAATTAGCATTGACCTCCCGGTACCGTTCCTGATTCACGCGAGCACATCAAATACCTCACCGTGACCGTTATTACATATCCTGCAAGGGTTGGCTCAACACCACAACAACGCCTTGGAACGACCATGGCACCGCAGTTGTGTGGCGACTCCGGGCCCTTGAGCCTCGCAGACCCATGCGTCCGAGGATCGTGGGCCGCAATAGGCCCTTGCGCGCTGCTGCTTCTCATCGCCCTCGTTCACGTACCCCTTCCGCGCGCACTCCGCCAGGTCGCCGACATCATCAAAACCCCCTTCACCGAATATCTCTCCCTGCATGACGCCGAGGCGCTGCTGCTCGCGGACGAGGCGACGGCTCCAGTTCAAGAGGTGGAAATTGACGAACCTGTTCCGCTGTGGAGGACAGTCGTATTTGCGTTCGTTGGGTTGTCGGGAACTCTGGTCTGGCTCGGTACTGGGTCGTATCTGTTGATAACAGGCTACCCACGGTGGCCGGCTATCCAAGCACTGCTCATTGCATCGACCTGGTTGTACGCGACCGTTCGACCCGTTCTGAAACCCTCGGCCACACCTCCATACGACCTCCTGGCGCTATACTCCGCGAACATCATCGGCGGTGTGCTGCAGCTCGGAGGATATTTGTTCCAACATAGCGCGTCTGGCACGCCGTTGCCCGGCGCATTAGTCATGGCCGCGTTGTCGTTCAATGTGATCGCATTGTCGGGCTTGGTTGTGGTTGTCCTGGCTATGCCAATTGGACTGCCATCGAACTTGGTGAAGAAGGGAGACATTGTGCGTTTCCACTATTGTGCCTGTTCAAGAGGTCTCAGTGCTAATCCAAGCCAGGGGGCGTCGGTTTCACCGGAAGATTATACGTCGCTTTGGGGCTGGGTCACCTTCACTTGGGTTTACCCTCTTGTGCGACGAGTGAGATTGCGCATCTACTTTCCGCGTCATTTTCTTAGTCTCTTAGGGCCGGAGCACGACTTTAAATGAAGGGGACATCTGGGAGCTCAGTCCAAACATCCAATCCCGCCCCATCTTCCTCAAGTTTGTCACTCTGCCGTGCGTGCCATTAACACGTTCATTTCACCTTCGTTCAAGCCGTTTTCAGTCAGAAGACATTGTTGGGGAAGCTGTGGAGCGCGAACTCTTTTGATATGAGGTTCATTCCTGATACTACGCCCAGAGCCGTTGCTAAGAATCTCACACAGCATGGATCTTGTTTTAACACTTTCCAGTGTCATGTTCACCTACGCAGGGCCGTTCTTTATGAAGTATGTAGTGTCCGAGAATTTGCTGCCAGAGTCTCACCCTCCATAGGCGGATATTGGATGCCGTCGACACCGATAATGAGACCCAGAAGGACAGGGCTAGTGCCTACATATATGCAGTTCTCATGCTGCTTTGTTCAGTCGGCAAGGTACAGAGCGCACTGCTTTCGCTCATGTTAACTGCTGATTCGCATGCAGGCGCAATGTGATGTTCAGCATCTGTGGCTCGGACGTCGGGCCGCAACGCGAGCTCGATCGGAGCTGATGGCATCGATCTACGACAAAGCTTTGAAACGCAAAGATTTCAGCGGAGTGGTAGATGAAGAAAAGGCCAAGGAGGCAGCCGAGAAGAAGAAGGCAGCTGAAGTTGACTCCTCGACACTGACCAAAGCGGAGAAGAAGGCACAGGCAAAGGCGGCAGCGGCAAAGGCGGCCAAAGCGGATGACCCCAAGGCGGGTGCCGCTGACACGGGCAAGATCGTGAATCTTATGGCTGGCGATGCGAATCGCGTGGCTAACCAAATCAGCGGGCTGTACATGCTATACGGTGCACCCATGGAAATTATCATTGGGTCGATCTTCTTGTACCAGCTTTTAGGTCTTTCCGCATTCGCGGGCTTCGTCGTGCTCTTGCTAGGCTGGCCCTTGAACAGCTTCTTGACACGACGCAGCATCCGGATCCAGAAAGGCGTGCTGAAAGCAAAGGATGGCCGTATGCAGGTCTTGACAGAACTCATCCAGGCTGTCAAGTTCATCAAGTTCTTTGCCTGGGAGCAGCGTTGGATTGAGCGCGCCATGAAAGCCAGAGAGGGAGAGATCAACTGGATGATCAAAGGTGCGTGCGTTCGGCTGCAACGTTGATGCGTTCTCAGAACCCATGCAGCGCGGCTGAACGGCATCGGCTTCTACTGGTAAGGTTATGTGAATGCTCCTGACGCCCTCAGTCTCTCACTTCCTTAGCTTGTGGATTACCGCACCCATCTTCATCTCTGTCATTTCTTTCTTCACGTATGTGATGCTCGGTAACGAGCTCACCATCGGAACAGCCTTCACAGTCCGTCCCCGGTCCGCCACATTGTCTTCCTCTAACTGATCAGCGTCGAACAGGCTATTGCTCTCTTCGGCATGATTCGTCAGCCTCTGAACAGCAAGTTTTCTTTCTGTAGAACATTTGAGTACGACTCACCGGTCTCTTCGCAGTCCTTCCAACGTTCATTGTGCAAGTTCTCCAGACTCGAGTGGCTCTCAACCGGATAGCTGTATACCTGGAGGAAGACGAAGTCCCTGAGCAGGTTTCGTCGCTCAAAGGTACCGCACGGAACACCTACAGCGACGATGGGGACAACCGACTTGGATTCGACCATGCTTCTTTCAAGTGGAACGAGGTTGAGGCCAAAGAAACTGATGCCAAGAAGAAGCCTTCCGACACGGATTCGATTGTCACAGCTACAGGCTCGGACAATGGCGTGTCCGATCATAGATTCGAGTTGAGAGACGTCAGTCTGACTTTCCCGGAGGGCCAGTTGACCGTCGTAACTGGTCCGACTGCCAGGTACGATATTGTTCGGATTTTGTACATTCTGTCTGACTTCCCGTGTGCTCAGTGGAAAGACAGCGCTACTGGTGAGTCCTTTGATCTTCTGCATCATCCGATGGTGACCTTTCCCAGCTCGCAGTTTTGGGTGAGATGACCACGCTGGAGGGACGCATCTTGATGTCCAAGAATGCGCACAAAGTCGACGCCTTCGGAAACATGCAGACGATTTCTTATGCTGCGCAGTCCCCCTGGCTCAGACACCAGTCTATCAAGGACAACATTCTCTTCGGGTATCCCCTAGACGCGGAGCGCTACGAGCAGGTCATCGAAGCTTGTGCTCTCCGGACTGATCTGAACATGCTGGAGGATGGCGATGCCACTGAGATTGGAGAAAAGGGTGTTTCGCTTTCCGGTGGTCAGAAAGCCCGGGTCGCTCTCGCTCGTGCAGTCTATGCCAGAACCCAGTATGTGTTGCTCGACGATCCATTGTCAGCCGTCGACAGGTCAGTTCCATTCTCTGCTTGCAGACCGTGTATGTGTGTTGACTTCCGTATAGCCACACGGCTCAAACGTTGTTCGAAAAGTGTCTGACTGGACCCCTTCTCGCCAACCGCACGGTAGTTTTGGTCACCCATCACGTCGAGTTGGTGTTGCCCGGGGCGCATTATCTTGTCCGCATGCTCGATGGACGAGTTGACACTCATGGGACAGTGAAGGATCTGCGAGCTCAAGGTCTGCTCGACGAGATCGCGCACGAAGCTGCCGTCGAGGTCAAAGCCGAAGAAGTGGCCGTTGCTGCTGAGGTCGTCGTCGCTGAGAACGCGGAGGAAGAGAGTAGTGACCCGGCGGTGAAAAAGCCCAGGAAGCTGGTCAAGGACGAGCATCGGGAAGTGGGTGGCGTGAAGTGGAAGATCTACAAGAGCTATCTCAAGGCTTCGTCGTACTCGATCTGGGTTTGTTTGGCCTGCTGTGTGTTACTGCAGCAGCTGTTGAGTGTTGGCGAGAAGGTCCGTGTCTGCATATTCTTCACCTGGGATCCGATATTGACTTGTTGTTTAGTTGTGGATCAAGACGTGGGGCGAAGCATACAAGGAGGCGGGCGCGAACGCGTCCACTGTGTTCGCGATGTATCGTCAATCGTCTGCCTTTGACCACGAAATCCCCATGCACCTTGCTGGATTCACGCCCTTGGATCTGAACGCCAGCACCCGTGGATTCCTGAACATCCAATGGCCCAATGCCGTCGAGCACCCCTTGTTCTATGTCGGCCTGTATGCGGGAATTGGCTTGACCACCGCATTTGTCAGTATCTGCTCGTCAGCGCTGCAGATCACGGGCGCACTGCGTGCTTCCAGGAAACTCTTCAAGGCCTTGCTGTCGTCGGTGGTCCATGCTACCTTCCGTTTCCATGACACGACCCCTCAAGGGCGTATGCTCAACCGATTGTGTGTCGTCTCTCTGGCCGCCCTGAATGATCAACTAAACGGCGTCTAGTGGAAAGGATATCGAGACTATCGACTCGTCTTTGGCAAGCTCTCTGCAGCAGGTCAACTCTTCCCTCGCTGGGTTTGTTGCTGCACTTCTGACTGTCTCGTGCGTCGAGCAGCCTCTCCTCCTCTGGGACACGTTCTGACCATATTGCAGCATCGTTTTCCCCATGTTCCTGATCCCTGCTGCGTTCATCGGATACTTCTACTACACCTTTGCTGTGGGTTACCTGAACACAGGCCGCGATCTGCGTCGCATGGAGTCCAATTCGCGTTCGCCTATCTTCTCTGACTTTGGGGAGCTGCTGCACGGAATCGTCACCGTCCGCGCATTCTCAGCGGAGAAGCGGTTCCTGGACAATCTGCATGTGAGACTGAATGGGACCACCAAGATGTGGTACACCTTCTGGTGAGTTTCTTTTCTCTTGCTCCACAACCTGATGATGACGAGAGTGAAGGATGACCAATCGCTGGCTGCTGCTTGCCTTTGATTTCCTTGGTGTGTTGTCTAGTGTATTTTCCTGTTTCGTTTATTGAATGCCCTCCAGGAGCATTGGCCGTCTTCTTCACTGCCATGTTTTCCATCCACTTTTTGGTCAACAACGCGGGTCTGGCCGGTCTGGCCATCACTTCGGCTCTGAACTTTACGTCGTCGGTGTACTGGGCTTGCCGTTTCTGGACTGGGCTTGAGCTTGACCTGAAGTACGCCATCATTCCATCTCACCGAAATTCCTAGCTCATGACTGAGTAGTTCCGTGGAGCGCATTGTCGAGTATCTCGACCTCCCTCAGGAGCCGCCTGCGGTGATTGAATCCAACCGACCGCCGGCGTACTGGCCGTCGAGCGCTCAGAACGACTCTCTGATCGTGGCAGAGAACGTGTCGATTAAATACGCACCGGATCTGCCCTCGGTGCTGCAGGATGTGTCTTTCAGCCTCAAGGCGGGAGAACGAATCGGATTGCTCGGCCGCACAGGCAGTGGGAAGAGCACACTTGCGATGAGTATCTTGCGTTTCGTGAGTCCCACGATGTTTATGGCAGATCCGGATGATTGAACGCGAGCCTACAGACTGACCCATCCAGCGGTCGATTCCTGATTGACGGAATCGATATCTCGAAGATCGGAATTGAGGGTGCGTCCACTCCCGATTCGTTTGGACACTGAATTGATCTCTTTTAAAGACTTGCGTTCGCGGTTGACCTTCATCCCTCAAGATGCTACGCTGTTCTCTGGCACTCTGCGGGAGAATCTGGATCCGTTTGACGAACACGACGACGCGACCTGCCTGGATGTGCTCTACCGTGTGCAGATGTTGACCCGCAGCACCCAAGCATCGACTAGCACCTCCCTCGCCGCGACGCCTGAATCATCTCGGCCACCCTCGGTGCACGGCGTCGAACGTGACGCGACGTCGGACTCCGCCTCGACCGCCGCTACCGACGCGACCGACGTCGACACCAAAACTACCATCACACTCGACACCCAGGTCTCGGCGGGCGGGACCAACTTCTCGCAGGGCCAGCGACAACTGCTGGCCATGGCCCGCGCTTTGTTGCGCCGCAGCGCGATTGTCGTGCTTGACGAGGCGACGAGCAGCGTCGATTTCAAAACCGACGCCAAAATCCAAGCGACGATCCGGGACGAGTTCACCGACTCGCTCTTGCTGACCAGTGCGTGTTTGTCAGCATATGCATTTGCCGGACTGACTGACTGACTGGGGGATTCAGTTGCCCATCGTTTGAGGACGATTATAGACTACGACCGGCTGTTGGTTCTGGACAAGGGCAAGGTATGTTACTTGCATGTGGGACGAACAGACACTGAAGTGCATGTCCAGCTCGCAGAATTCGACACGCCCTGGCGCCTTATCCAGAAGGAGGACGGGATATTCCGCAGCATGTGTCTCAAGAGTGGCTATTTCTCCGAGCTGGAGAATGCTGCCCGGACCAAGGCCGAGAAAGACGGCCTCCTCTGAAAATTATCACGTATCTATCTATATGAACTCTGTGGATCTTTCGACGCATAATGCGATCAAATGTAGCCTGGAATACGGCATTGCATTGGAAAAAGGCCAAGATCGACTGGTGATTACAGCGCGAAATGTTGATAAATGTACATGGCTACAGAGGTCTTCCTCGACTACACAACTTTAGTGGCAGTCATTGAGGTTGTGATATTGACCCAGGTTGAGCGTGTACGGGTCGACATTCTGCAGCCATCCATTCGCAAACTGGAACAAACTTGGAAGCGGTGAGCAGAGACCCAACACACGAGGGAGGAAATAAGAGGGCGCACTAGTCGAGATTGTTCTGGCAGAGACAGCAGGCCGAGTTCTTCGCGGCGGTGGCCTTTGCCTGTGGACAATAAGTATATGAACTTGAAGCAACTCGGAGGATAGAACGTACGACAGTGAGGGACTGATACCATCCGTTGTACTGGCCTGCATACATCGTCCATTGAGCATCGGCGCACTGATCAGACACATCATCTCACTGACCGATGGACAGCAGCAGGTTCCCGTTGTTACCATGAAGCGTAGCCGCAAAGAAAGAAGCGCCGGTCATGATGTTCCATTCCTGCAACGGCCACAGTCCATACATACATGATCAGCCACAGATCGAGCCACGCACGGGATCCCGGCAGTTGCCGTTAGGTGGGTTGACGCACTTCTCGGGACTGAGCTGCATCAATCCCTGCTCGCCCCCGCCGCCGACAGTGGACGGGTTGCACGTGCTTTCCTGCATGGCGAAAGAGGCGAGCATGATCGGCGGGATGCCGAACTGCGCCCCGTATGTGTTGAAGTGCGCGATGTAGGGCTTGCAGGCGGTAAACGGCGACCCGGGAGACTCGAGCGCGGCCTGGAGGTCTTTGACGAAGATGATGTCGTCGACTGTGATCATCGGCGGGTTCCATCCAGAGTCTGGTCGACGCCTGTGAGCGGAACAGATCGTGACACTACGCGAGATGAGAAACGCACCGGTATCGAGCCCGCAATTCAGCCAGTCGAGTTTGCCGTTCGGACCAGTATTTGAGGTGATCTCCGCTGGCGTGGAATTTGAGAACCGGGCGAGATTGAAGACGCGTGCGACTGACCAGTGGCACCATTCGAGCCGCATCGCGAGACATCCACCTGGATTATCTCCCCTATGTTGGCTTGGAAGACCACGGGCTTCGGTGTGGGCTTGTGTTTCTTGGCGGTGATTGTGGACGACGAATGGTTTCGACTGTCCGTCGGAGCGAGTGCAACAGGCCCTTGTGTGGCGGCGGGCGGCTTGCGCAGAATCAGCGAGTACCGGAGAAATGCTCTAGATGATTTACAGAAGCTTTGCAGGATTTGCGTCTTTCCAAGGCAGTCAAGGCTGGAGATCGGCGAGACAGAGCGAGGGCAGCATGGCCGCGGAGGGCGAGGTGTTTGCCGTGAGCACCGTGGGCCTTTACGGCGAGACAGGCGGCTAGTAAAACGAGTGGCAGGGCGAGTATCATAAGGAGAGTCTAGTCTTGCGGCGGGTGATAGCAAAAGAGAAAGAAAGGAGACGAGCTAAGATCGCAAGCGAGTCGCATCATCAACTCAAGACTGCGAGTGCGGGGGATAGGTTGTAGGGGCGCTAGGGAACGGACCCGCTGACTGAGTGACTGAGGACAAGGTAGGTTAGATTGCAATTTCGTGTAGTCCGCGCCGAGAGGCCGCGATCGCCATTTGCCTCGAAGGGCTGGCACCAGAGTCGAAAGATGGATTGCATTAGTGCACTGCTTGCGTGTGCCCGATTGTCTTGGAGACCAGTACAGAACAGAGAGAAGGGGTCCCCGTCGTCCGAGTCGTCGCACGATGGGATGCCGCCCGGCCGTCGAAGAGAATGATGCGCAGTCGGCGATGATCGAATGGATCGGAGGCTGTGGTGCTAAAGACATGAGTACTTGGAAGTGCCCATGGCTTGGCTGGAGCAATACGCTCACGTGGACCGCGTAGCCGAGATGACAGATGACAGGTCTGTCGGCCGATCGGGACACGAAATCGTTCACACGCAGATATCTATGAGGCGCTGAAGATGGGGGCCCATGGGAACGCCTGGGAAGATAGAAGCAGCTCGTGGGCAGAACAGGTGCGGATTGAGCGGCGAACAGCTGCAGTCAACAGACGGTAGGCAGAGCTGGAGATGAGGTGGTGCTTCCGTTTCGTAATGTAAAAGCGGTGTCGGCTGCGCACGGACCTACTATTGACTCGCTCGGAGCATGATTGAACCTGGCTTTCCGAGTCATCGCGGAGGATGGACGCTAGACTGCCGTGTGCACGCACTGGGCGTGGCCTACACCGCTCTCAGTGGGAAAACATGTGGTGAGATCAATGCCGCTTCTTAGTCAACTACGCAAAGTGCACAGCCTCCTCAGCTCTGCTTATCCTCCGAATTTCCGGTGAAACTAGACAGATTCGCAGTATTCTATCTAAATATAAGGCGGTCAAGACCGTGATGAGCTGGCGGTGAACAGCATGGATGTAGTGAGGGCGGATAGCCGTCTAAATGACTGTTCTTGCAGGCCGGCATGATGAGTCGTTTCCGAGTCATATGCCAAACACGCACAAACTCACTCGCAACCTCGCCCAGCCTCAACCGGCCTTCTCAAGTCTTGTCTGACTCTCTCTCCTCAAAGCCGTCTACGCTCTCAGCCGATTACTGCTTGCTTCCATCCAAACAAATATCTGCAGGTCTTTGTCGCTCAGGCAAAGCTCCCTGTAATCGGATCGTTCTCAGGTCGTTGACTTGAGAGGCGACCCGCCCCTCCCATAGCAGCAATGTGCCACTCGATAGCTACCCGCTTCCCCCACCCGAACCGCCTCGTCTTCCGCGCATCGTCCATCCGTGTTGCCTCTGATTTTATCTCCCAATATTCTACTATCACCATTTCCACTGATGCGCGGAAGACCCAGCTCTGAACTATAATTCATACCGACTCATTATAATCCCCGAAACTCACATCTAAACACCCAACTCACTCCAACCCCCCATGCACTCAATTCAACAAACTCTTGCTCACAGGGCTCCTCCCGCCACCCGTCGGGTGCGGTGGCAGCCCTACAATAACCTTGCCTCTGTTTCCTCGTCCTCTTCTTCCTCTCGCTCTCCTTCTCTCTCCGATCTCAGCACCCCGGCCACATCTGTATCACCACCAGTTCCCAATCCCACACCTTTATGCGAAATCGACCGACCCAAGAGCGCCATGCTCCATGCCTCAAAGAGCCTTGAAACCGGTCCTTCCAAGACCAAATATGCCTCAGGCTTAGTTGGTGCGTCAAACGCAAGCCTGGCCCATACTCAAATTCTGACTTTGGACTGATAAGACCAAGCCGTCAAATCACTCGGCGAGATATGGCGTCCTCAGGACATTCCCACTGTATTTTTGACCACTTCGAAGCCCACGCTGGGTTCCGAGATCGCCACAACGTGCATCAAACAGAGTTCTGATTGCATGCCATCGTTGGCGACTGCGTTCCCTGCGATCTCAATGGCGTTGTCCTCCTCGAAACCAGCGACCTCGTTCGGCAGCAACCAGAACCTTGTGCCCATCAAGGGCTTCGTTCACGAGGTGCTCCGCCGGTCCCGCACGTCCGGCTCCGTGCTCCAGACTGCCCTATGCTATCTGGAAGCCATCCGAGCCAAGGTGCCTGAGTTGGTCCAAAAGGAGCGATCTGGCGAGTCAACGAAGCTGGAGTTTGACTCGGAATCCCGCATCTGTCCAGCCACCGCTGCCGAACTTGCGCTGGAGTCCCAGCTGTCATCCATCGGGTATGATTCATCCATTCTGGATGAAGACGTGATGGACACTGTTCGTATGTGCGACCAGGACAACAACGCCAGCACGGCAAGCTCCGGGCTTCCCTCCAAACAAGCTTCGGCTCATCCGAAACAAGATCCGGTCCTTCGCGAGAACGACACGTCTTCGAAATATTCCGAGTCCAGCTCCAGCTCCAGCTCCAACTCGCTTCCCTCTCCGCTCCTCTGTCCGAGACGTGCCTTTTTGGCATCGCTCATCCTCGCATCGAAGTTCATGCAGGACAAGTGTTACTCGAACCGAGCATGGGCCAAACTCTCAGGACTCCCGGCTCGAGAAATCAGCCGCTGCGAGCGTGCGCTCGGCGAGGCCTTGGATTGGCGTCTCTGGGTCGGCAAAGCTCCTGTGACCAGCTCTCCGCCGCCACCGAGTGCACCTGCTACTCGACCCGTCGTTCGCTGCCAAAGCGAGAGCTCGCTTGCCTTGGGCGCGAGCTCTACTTGCTTTGTGCGCGACGGCCCGTCTGAGACTGCACCGAAAGTGCTGGCGACGTCTGCATCGACAGGCCGTCCGGTCCGTCCCTTGCGCAGGTCCTCCACGCTTCCAGCGGAGGCGTTTTCGTCCAAGAACAGCTGGAAACCGGACCAGCTGATGAGCACTCCCATGGTATGTTTTTCTTCTTGCTCTCAATCTCACTGTCTCACTGTCTCTCTTCCAGAACAACTCGCCGTACTCAAGCCCGGTCCCCCAGACCCCAGGCCTCAGTTACTCGCCTACCTCGACGGATTCGTCGTCGTCGGCCGGTGACAGGACGATCCAGATGTCGTTCATGGATGACACGATGTCGCAGGAGGGGTGTTGGGACGGATTGTCTCCCACCCTGGTCGGCAGTGTTTTCGAGGCGTCGAGTCTGTCGGGCGGCAAGTTCGCTCCCGCACCTCTGTTGCCTGGTGTGCACGGCGCAGTGCTTGCTGCACCGATGCCCAAGATTTCGTTCCCCCAGGGCCAGTGTCTGCTGGAGAGCTACCCCGCTCAGCTGGACTTCGCTGCATTTTCTAATCATCTGTTGAGCAGATCAGCCCTCGAGAATACGTATCGCGCCACTGCTCTTACCTTGTGACTACATCTTGTACATTTTCATCTCTTTTCCTCTCTGTTTCTCTCTCTGTTCCGTCTCTCTTCATATATGATAAGCACAATGCACCCCGAATTTGCGTACACATTATATATGTCTTCTTCCGTGACATGCCTGTATGATTTCTGTACCTCACTAGGGTCGTATGTATATACCCCAGAAATAAATAGATCCCGTGGCCGGGGTTCAATTACTATCGACTGTGCGATCATTCGTTGAAAAACTCGAGCGGCTTGGAATTGGGCTGGATTGCCCGGTAAAATCCGTTGTTCTCTCCATCCTTATCTTTTCCCTCGTCCGTGAATAGAGAATGGAACTTGACGTTCTCGACGCCCTATCTCGGCATCAGTAACGTACTGGCATCTCAACGAACAGTTCGGGCACCGACCTCGCCAGGGGGATCATGCACTCTAATTCGGTGAAGCTGGTGTTCAGATCGAATCCCGCGTCTCAAGGAGAGATGTACCCACCGCACGAAGATGAACCCGTACTGATCGTCACTGGCATCGACCTTGATTCTACCGTGTTCGTCCTTGACGAGGTGATGAGAGACGAGCTCCCCGTCCGAGTCCAGATGGATTGCAGGCAGCCTGATCTTGCCGAAGATCATGGGCCCGTAGGATGTCTCGGCGACGCGCACAGAGACCAGATCGTCCTACAAGCTGCTTAGACTCATAACATCACCACCAGCCGTGGGGAGCTGGCTGCGCGCAGGGCACCAGGCACCTTGATAGTGAAGTTGACGAGATCGTAGTCGGACGTCTTGCTGGCGAGCGCCCACATCTTGGGCTCGTGCTTGTCCCAGTCGTGGCGCGAAGCGAGGATCGCAGACTTGATGAGATGCTCGACATGCTCAAACGCCTCGATCGCACGCTCGTTCGGCGCGTGCGGCGGTGAGAACGAGTCTACGGTGTCGAGGCTGGCTGTGGATGTCTGGAATTCGATGCGCAGTCCTGCGTAAACCTGTCCGCTCACCCATCGTGCGATATGATCAGACGGAGAGATGCTCAAAGTTGGCAGGCACAGCCTTCGCGAAAGGACCATACACATGTCTCGTGTCCGTAGGGCTGCGGATAATTTAAGCTGCTTGTGGTATCTTTTGTTCCTCCTCCTCCCGGGGAGGAGTAACAGGTGTTGCGAGACTCGATTTATTTAACATCCGCTCCACATCGTCCACCTTCTCAGCTTCGACCTCCGATGCCAACCGCTGCAGCTCTTGAGCCAACTCGTCCTCATCGAACGCGGATTCGTCAACTCCCAGCGCCACATTAGACCCAATTCTGATTGCCTCGTCGATTTCGCGTGCATCCGCGTTTGCCTCGGCCATAGCATCCATCGTCTTCTCAATCGAATCACGCTGCAGTGATGGGTGCGAGAGGATGGCGCGCAGAGTGGTCGAAGACGATTCATATGATTTGATGATCTTGGGCAGTGCGGTCAGTGGTTTCAGACCCATTGAGATGAAATTAACACACCTCGATATCGCTGGCTGCGGTTTTCACTCGTAGAAGAGTTCCATCCAGTGTTTCCAAAGATCCGAGACGCTTCTGCAACAGTTCTTCGAGCTGTTTGCGTTGTCGCAAGTATGTCAGCGCAACAGACTTGTGTTTCTGTTGCACAGCTGTGGTCGCTTTCTGGGTGTACCTGTTTTCGTATTAGACGCAGCAGTGTTGACCACCTCATCAAACTGACTGGTCAATGCTCCCCTGCAGCTGATCAACCTGAGCCTGCAAATGTTGAACGGCTTCCATGAGTTCCAAGATACCACGGTCGACAGCGGTGATTTCTGAGGGAGAACCCGTCCCTACAAACTTGATGACCTGGCGACCAGTCAATACTGCTCCTCGTGTGAGAGAAACGACTGACTTGCTCGTCGATAACGATGCACTTCCGATCCCGTTGCAAAAATTTCAGCATAATCTTCACATCTTCGTCGCCAAGGGGTGCATCGTCACCCAGGACATCTGAGAACGTGGCCTTGAAGCTTTCAAAGCTGTACAGCACATCACTCGCGTCACCGGGTGTCAGCGATTGTCGCACGAGGACCGCGTCTGCCACTTCCTCGATGAGTGGTAGCAAGACGTAATCGTCCCACCACGATGTATCCCTACCGCCGCTACTTGAAGACGCGCTGGAAATCATTCCCTCCTCGCCGACAACTCCCAGCTGCTCTAACGCCCACCAGAGCGGTTTACCGACAACAAAGGCCGCGATCCGCACCGGAAGCCACCCAGGGTCGTATACGGACTTGGCGGCGGAAAGAAATTCGGCTTTGGTGAGCAAGACCTTCTGCGTCCTGAGCTCAGCCTTGCTAACCCGATGATGTTGAGTAGGGATCGGACGGTGGCACGCAGCGACTCACGATGGCTGTAGGTAAGGCTAATGGCTTGCCGGCCCCAGGATATCGGAGCAAGTCCATCAGCCTGGCATTAGCGCTGAGGACGAGCCTTGAGCCGGAGCCTAAGCCTGCTCGCGTCACTGCCTCCAGTGTACCCCTCCACCATTCTACGTTAGCTCGGTAGGCGACGGGATTCGAGTGCTTCTGTCGGGATATGTCTGCGTACAATGATTGGAGACGGGAAGATGATGCGGAGGCATATGGCCCGAGGCGCAGGAGTGCCGGGTTGGCTGGTGCTGCTTTACTGGGTGTGTGCATTGACGTACAAGAGTCTAAAGGTAGCAGCAGCACTGACAGTAAGTGTCACGTGGAAATCACGCTCTTTCACGTTATCGTCCTTTCTGTGACACCGTCACGATGACGTAACGCGCTGCCAGAGGACGCTGACCCTTGTCTGGTCCTGCGCTTCATCTCCAAAAGCTGAATTCACCAACCCATCAAGCAGCAAGAACTCGCATAAATTCCTTCTGTCAAAGATATGCCCCATTTTATCAATGAAACAGCTTTTCAAATCGTCGACGCACATTTCGAGACATGCGGAGTATCCTAGACTTTCTACATCCGCGCTAGCCATTGTAGGCTGCATTCATTTCGCCCCACAACCAAATTACCTTCTCCTTCACCTACCGCTATGGACACGCTGACCTGTGCCTCTGAATCTGCACTCTCCGTGACACCGTATCGATTCAGTCTTCTGAAACGGAAGCCAGCGCCGTCTGAATCCTCGCTTACTGAGACGGATTCGACACTTCCTGACAGGAATTCTTCGCTATGGGCTCTCGACCACCCATTTTCGGACGACAAAACGAACACATGCTGGAGATCTCTCATCGATGACCCGGAGTCTGTGCCAGAAGCTCAGCCAGCGCCCGTATACAGCAGCCGGCCTCGTGCTCATACAGTCCATGATAGACCGTTCAGCAGGGTCATTCGGGTCCCCCCTCCCTTTTTCGACGACACTCTGCTCGACCTCGAAGAGAAGTCAGTTCGGGCCAGCATGTCGAATCCTGAGATCGTCATGCTCAAGAAAGACGACGCGCCCCCCGATGAGCCCCTGAGTCCGAATCCACTTTCACGACATGTTGGCAGCGTCGTTGTTCCTCCGCTGAAACCAACGAAGAAGGGCGCCGGGGTCAAGGGGTCGAAGCGAAGGAGGAGTGTCTCCATCGCAGCAATCTCATCGCCGTTACCAATTGCGAGCACGACTTCTGGGCCTCCTGTTCCACCTATGGTGCTCACAAACACGTCGACTTTCACGTTGTCAGCCTTTCCGCCGCCTCCGCAAACGATTCCCTCAATTCACCCTGTTTCTTTGGATGACGTACCTTCAGCTGCTATTCCAGACATCGACACTAGTCTTCGACCAATACCGCCGACGCCTGCTCAATCTTATTTGCTTGAAGTGGATCAACCCAGTCATGTAGCGTCTGCTTCGCCTGTTTCACCGGCCGTCAAGCCATCTCCGATCGTGTTACAGAAGGGTGCATTGAACAAGGCTTACTTTGACTTTGGGGAGCCGCCAGATTATTCGGAGTTCTCCGAGACACGGCTGCCCTCGGATGATCAACTGCAGCAAGCAGCCTTCCTCCCAGTCATCTCAGAAAGCGGAGTGCGGATCAGTTTTGGCAGGTTGTTCAGAGAGCAGAAAACGATCGTCTGCTTCATACGACACTTCTGGTGAGCACGAGCCAGGATGGCATTGACAATTCTGACTCTGTACAAGGTGTCCGCTTTGCCAGGATTACATGTTCTCTATCTCTCGAAATGTCTCACCCAAGGTCCTGGACGATGCGGGGGTAGACCTTGTGATTGTCAGCAACGGGTCGTTTGAGATGATCAAGGCGTACCGTAGTGCGTGTTTGAGCGCATTTTGCCGCAGCCGGGCCAGCTCACGTTGTGGTCAGAGATTTTCAAGACCCCATTCGAAGTCTACACGGATCCGACGCACGAAGTGTACAATGCATTGGGCATGACGCTCCAAACGATGGAAAAGGGACCGAAAGGCAACTACATCCGACACGGGCTGCTCGGTGGAATCGGCATGGTCGTCGCCAACGCTGTCAAGTCTGGCATGCCGGTCTGGAAAGCCGGCGGGGAGATTTCTCAGCTAGGCGGAGAATTCGTACTCGGTCCGGGGTGCGTTCTTCGGTCGTCAGGTGTTCGAAATATACTGATTCTCTGCGTCCAAGAATAACTTGCAGTTGGGCTCATCGGATGCGATATACGAGGGATCACATTCCCATTCTGCAAGTCATCGCCGAAGCCGGGGTGGATATGTACACGCCCCTGCACCGCATCGAGAGCTCGACGGGCGGTTCCTTTTTGGGTCTTTCGGCCCGCGAGGAATCCAAGTGGATGGAGAGACGGAGGAAGCTGCTGAGGAACCTCAAAAAGGACAAGATGGCGCGCAGAGGAGGGCCCCAGTACATCGACACAGCCTCAACCACGACTGGGACGTGCAGCAACCGTTCCAGCGTGGTTCCAACGCTTACAGAATGTTCTTGGACACCCGCTACGGAGCACGGGATCAACGTTGGCCTCAGCCAATACGACATCCAGATCATTCGGGAAGTCGAGGAAGAGGATGTTGCCAGTGAGCAGGGCCCTTCTTCTGGTCTGAAGCTCTCTCCGCCGACTGAAGAAGTTAGCTACGGAGCTGAAACCTACACGAATTCGTTTGTCGAGGATGCCAGCGTGTTGGATCAGGTGGACGCCGAATCGTCCGTGACAGACTTGGCCTCGATAACGGACGCGGTGCACGTCAGCTTCGAGCAGGCCAGGATTGCTGCCAGTCCATGCCGCAGCAGCAAGCTTGATCAAACGGGGATGTCATCTCATCGGTCCAGCGCTTCTTCGATCGGCAGTGGCTTTGATGTGGTGGCTTCCCATCACGATGTCTATTTCACTAAGACGCCGGCCAACTTCCTCTCGCCTTCGTATTCCGAGTCTTCGTTGGAAAGTTTCTAGAAACTTGGGAACACGGGCGGACTGTATGTACGTAATTGTATGATATTGCTGTAACCCTTGGTATTTATTCTTATTTACATTGCCTTGATCTCTGTCTTGAACTTGAGACTGGAATTGAGAACTGTCTGTCTAAACCTCGTGATTTTCTGGGTGAATGTTGGCTATGCAGATCTACAGTCTGCACAGTCCGGACCTAGCAACACTCCTTGACATTCCCCCGCTCGAATCTCTTGGAGAGTCAATCATCTGGATCTTACATAGCAATCAAGTATGTTCCGAGAGGAACTATGGTCGGCAAAAGTTTCTTGCTTCTTAGCCTCATTTAGGTTTCGCCATGGCTCGCAGCAGAAAGTCGTGGCCGACTGCGTTGGTTCACATCTTCACCATCACCGAAAACAGTCCGAAAACCGGGTTCGAAAACATCTCGCCAGGCTAGTCCGCTTCCGGGGGTCCGAGGTCGGCGGCTGAAGAGAATAGGCGGCCAATGTCCAGCTGTATCATCTCTATCTCACGTCTTCAGCCCTCTCCGCCTGCCATGGTTGTCAAGTTCTGCCATGGCACTTGGGTTCCTGCCTGTCTCACGACCCCCGTTGTCACCCAAGTTCTGCCAGGTTCTCGATTCTGTCTCTCCTTATGTCATCTTTGAGCCGCGGAACGCCTGTCCAGCCTCAGGAGGTCTGAGTTCGGAAGGGAGTTCCTCGGCCAGGAACATCAGAGCCAGCGTCGATGATATGGTGTGATCAATGCAGTCTAACCCAGTAAGTGATGGTATTCAATACGTTCCTGAGCTATGGCGCGCCCCATGCAAGCCCCATGCAAGTTCCGATTCTTGATCACGCCCTCAAACGCGCCTCGACCCCCCGATTCCAGATTCCAGAACTCTGAGCCACGGCGGCCTCGCTGTTTACAGAAACGAACAAGTCGGCAACGGCGCACCGGTTGGTCGTGACGCAGGAGTAGACATCGCGTCGGTGGAGAGCGGTCGTCTTCGAATTCTCACCGTGCACACCTGCGTAGCGATCCGCGTGTGATGAGGGCTCCGCACAGGAGATCATCTGCGCAGAACACGACTGAATGCAGGCCGGATCCGGGCGGGAGTGTTTCACATCCGGGTGCAGTCATGCACGCGTTTTGCGCGCGGTCTGGTTCGACGAGGGAGGCATGCTGTCTCGGTGTAGGAGATGACGCCTGGGTTCGGGCCATTCGAGCCGAAAGAAGCAGAGCCACGAATAAGAATAACATTTCGAAGCGCCACGTCATTCGTTCCCACGCTGCCAAAGAAGTGATGGTTGGTTCACATGATCGGGCGGCGTGTCTTATCACGCCCAAAATTCCCCAAAAAATGTTTCCGAGGTGAAATTCGGATGACAGGTTTCATGTCTGCCAAGACAACGGCGCAAGGCACAGAAAGATAATGCGATTGTGAATAAGCTGTAACGAAAGCAAATAATGTAGCGACTGCATGAGCATAGACCATGCTTTTATGTAGTAGGATGTAACTTAGAGATAGCAGAGAACATTAGGCTCAGTGGTATCGGGGAAGCTGGTCGCCGGAAGAGTGTACAAGTTGGCGCTCGTGGTGGTGATACTGGCACGTGGTCAGCTGCGGAGAACAACACACAATTCAGAAGCACTGCGCACATATGGTTCTGGCGACAGAATCGGCGGAGGACTCCAGTGCTGCTGCACAGAAGGATGCCCCATCGTACTTCGCACGCTCGAAGCGGTCAGATGCCGTGAGGGAGCAACATGTTGGTGCGTCGAGTAGGGGTCGTACCGACTCGGGTATGTCGGGATTTCAGCCACATGGGACACAGACAGCGGCGAGTCCTGCGGCGGCGAGTACCGGGCACGTTCGCGCGAGCTGGATGAATGATTAGCACCCGGGAAGGAACATCACAAGGAGACACCCACTATTCACGTCGGTCCATGTCGCCGGAATTCATCGGAGGAAGGTAGCTATGTTCTCTGCCAGCCCATGAGTCCCGGGAACAGCGAGATGACACACAGAACTCACGGCCGCCGAGAGTTCAGTAGCGGGGGGAGGTTTAGTTCACGCGGCAGACTTAATTCCACCGGACTGCGTTGGGGCGGTGTGTGGCCACGGGTCGAGGATGGCGACGAGCTGTCGGAGATCCCGGGTGACGACGCCGTTGATGGGCGGCCAATCTCGGGCGAGTCCTTGACGGACGAAGCCCGTTTCCGCGCAGGAACGCCCTCGGGCCATGTGCACTGGAGCGCGGGCGGTGAGCAGCGTCGAAAAGGAGGGGGGATAGCCCACGCACATCTCGTTGTCCATGGCTGCATCGCATACAGTTTGGCTTGGCCTCATCGCACTGAAAACCGTGTCAAACGCGTGCGGCAGTGGCTGGCGGTGGCAAGACCTTGATTTTCTTCACCCGGCACGTCAAGCAGCCCGTTTTGCTGCGTGTGTACTTTGGTCGTTTGCGCGCAGGCTGCTCTTGTCGCGGCTGTGGGTCAACCTCGTGATGGCCACTGTGATGCATTGGGGGGGACGAGTAATACGCGCTGTGAGCCATATAATTGCCGGAGGAGCTAACCCATCCGATGTTAGCGCGCTGACGGATGAGGTAGCCGACGACATACTATGCCATGCTGTCGGTCATGGAGGTTAGAGCGGGGGTATCGAGATGGTTCATGACTATGTTTTGTGGGCAGTTATTTAAATGATTGAGAAGAATAAAGGCCGAATGATGTAGAGAATCGGGATTGTGATCAGATGGATCTAGGGTCGTGGAAGCACAGAAAACGTTGGCTCCCAGTTGTCGAAGGATTACAGCAGAGCCTGGGGGTGGTGGGCAAGAAGGACTTGGAAGGCGTGGTGAAAAATGATACGGGGCTGATAGAAATTGTCGGAGTCTGGACAGAGATATCGAACTCGTGGAGAGTCGTTTATTATGAGCATGGCCTATTGGGGACTATTCGATCAAGATTTGATACGCGATGTGATATGGCGCATCAAAATGTCACATATCAGAAGCCTGGGGGAAATCCTGAAACAAAACATATTGCACGAGTGGTATGGTTCTGGTCGAGACAGACGGTGGTGTGCGATTGGCATGAGGGCCGAACCGTGAAGGCTGGCAGATCGTGACATACGGGGATGATCACCTAATAAGCCACATTGCACTCGAAGCACATGCAGACATCGAAGAACAAGGTCGGCCGTCAGATGGACCGGCTCCGGGCCCGAGAAGCACTGCTAAAAGTGGACCAAGGAGGACCCATAGTCGCGTGTTTTCGCCTAGCTCTCGGCTAGCCCATCAACGCGCCCTTATTGGTTTACATAAGCCTTCACAGAATCCCACTTGCCCAACATCTGTTACGTTCTTCGCTCAATTTCGAGCCCTGGCCAGCAGCAGCGAGGCAGGGCACTGCATCAGCACCGGCGGAATTATGGCAACCCTCCCTGATCCATTCCGAGGAACAACACTACGCTCTGTAGGGTGAGATGACAGCCCCGTGTCTCTTGTAACTTTTGTAACTTGATCCTTACTGGCGGCGACACAGTGTCCATCAAAAGAAGTCAGCCAACGCAGATCAACGTTTGGGAGACACGACTCCAATGCGCAGTCGTCCTCTCTTTAGGTCACGGCCGGCATGCGATTCGGAGCTGCAACCAGCGCGGCATCCTCTAGCGTCGACTCGCAAACTCAGTTCGGCAGAATGTATGCACGACCAAGTATACAAAACCGGAAGCAAAGTAAGATCATCAGCTGGCAGACAAGCCTGAGAAACCCTCCGGAGCTCCGCAACAAAATTCGCCGCCCACTCGTTCTAACCGCGTGAAAGTAATGGAGAATAAATGGAGATCCTGCAAATCACACCCCACTGTACGTGACTGATGGCCTACTTCTCGCGCAGAAAGAACGGTTCTGGAGCTGCACGGTGCATAAAACATCGAATAAGATTATCAGGGACACAGACTGGTGGCGAAGGGATGACGCCACCGATGGCAGCGCAGACGGGGTTGCAGCGGAGGCAAATCGCCCCCCATGTCGCTTCGCGAGGCCTTGATTCGTCCCGTTCCGACTCGCGTAACAGATTTTCAGACAAGTGGCGGTGAAGTTCCTTTATGGCTTCGCTAAAGCTGGCGAGCCGCTAGCGAGCGCCAGTGCTATTGAAAGATTCCCTCAGACCGGAAGATTCGCCAGACACGTGTCTAGCACCCCGGCCGAGCGGCCTGCGCGGCTGATGCATTACAATCACTATCGGAACGAGCTCTGCGCTTCCAGCTTCTTTTTCGTTGCATCTTTTGCGGTGCGGTTTCCGCGTTTTCTTATCCTTGTCTCCGCGGATGGGTGTCACGGAGCCAGGGATCAGTAATCCTCAGGGACCATAGTAATCATACAACATGTGTCAAGTCACCTGCACACTGTGATTCTGATCCAAGGAACGAAATTCACGCAAAAAAAATATACCAGCAACCATCCTGGATGCAATCAGCGCGAGAACGAGACACAACGACTGATACTTTATCAACGGTCAAAGATCAACAGCATGGAAAGAGGAGAAAGCAAATGGTACATAGAGATTGGAAGGCACGGAAAGCACTGTCCGATACGTACATATAACATCCTGACCGGCGAAATGGCTTGTCTTCATCGACCAGTCGTCCTGCCAACGACTTTCAGTCCGTCGAAGGCGCGGCGCTGGATCCAGTGCTCGCAAGAGAGTCTTGGCGGGCTCTAGTCCACGATCAGCAAACGATGGAACACATGACATAAGAACCGCTTGCCCGTCCCGTTCTCTCGATCTCCGGCGAGTCTTCGGCCAGCCCCAGACACGACGAATCCACCGCGCCATGTCAGTCTCCTGTTTCATCACGGAAACAATCCATGGATGAGAAAGCAGATCCTTCGGCGTTGGACGGGCGAGCGAATCGACTGTCAACCTGAGAGAAGGGTCAGCACGATTCTGCATTCACAGTGCACCACTTGCGTCTGTTTAATGAAATCCTTCATCTCATCACTCCACTCCAGCCCGGGTTCGTCTTCCAGTCGAGGAGGCTGCAGTCCGAACAAGTTAATGCCCCTGGGATCTCAAACGAATCCATTTCGTGCATACCTCGCCGGCAGTGATGTACATCATCAGTTCAATAGGTGGCAGATCCGGAGGGAAGGGGAAGCGATTCTGGGCAAGTTCCAACAATGAAATCCCCGTCGACCAGACATCTGATCGAATTCCGTATTCTTGGCCGGAGATTCGTTCCGGCTACACAGTTATCAGACAGAGAACGACGGAGAGAGCAAGAACCTCACAGCCATATAGAAGCTCGTGCCCGTGAAAGTTCCCGCCATGGATTCAATCAATTCACCCGACACGCCGAAGTCGCACAACTTGACAATGCCTTGACGGGAGAGAAGGATGTTCGAGGGTTTGATGTCTCGATGGATAGTCTTCTTGCTGTGAAGATACGCAAGGCCTTGCAGAATCTGGACCATCGTTAATTCTCTCGGAGGAAGGCCGTTTTCAAGGACGAACCCCTTCTGCCAAACGCCCCGCAATCTTCTCGCCAACGATCCCGTTACGCTCCTTGATTTGGCGGCCAACAGCCTCGAGTGATCCACCTTCACAGAAGTCCATCAGGATCTTGACCTCACTGGAGGAGGGCGACATATAAGCCCCATGGAAACGGATAATATTGATGTGCTCTGTGGAGGAGATGATGGATAACTCCCGTAGCAGCTGCTTCATCGGCGCCTCCCTCGTGGTAATTGTCTTCCGGGCCATGAGACGTCCGGTACGCTTGTCTTTCACCTTGTGAACAGCGCCGCCGGCTCCTTCGCCGAGACGCGAAAGTTCCTCCAGAACGCCATCGGTCCAAGGCAGATTGGCCGCACTCGGCAGAGCGGGGATGTTCTCCTCGCTGTCACTGGGAGGGTGTGATTGGGTGCCTTGTTGGGGAAGGCTGTCGAGAATGGATTTAAGACTGTCCAAAGGCTCGTGCTTCGTCACTGGCGGTATGGCGGTCGCACCGGAATCTGGCCGTATCGTCAAATCGGCATGGGGTGATTGCATCGCGGGTAGTGAGAGGGGCGGTCCACCGTAGTACATGCTCTGGGGCGAATCGTCGCCATCTCCATGCCTCGATTGGGTGTTTATCCGCGGTGGGATGTTTAAGCCGAGTTTGGGCGTGGTAGGCCGAGAGGCGACGTGGGGGATGGACAAACTGAGGTTGGGCGTGGGCGTCCTCGCGGAGGGCGGTGTAGGAAGGGCTAGGCTCGGCCGCTGGGGCTTGCGAATATTGAGGGGTGCGGTCGAAGCGATTTGGGGAGATGGGGATGAGATGGCTCTAGGCCCCATCGGTCGCTGAACCGACGAATGCATGTCGGGTGAGGGCAATCAAAGAGCGACGAAGGACAAGGACAAGACAATTGGGTCTGGTCAACGTAACGGACCTCTATGTAATGTCGTCGTCGCCGGGACTTGTGATGGACACGTGCTGAGCGCTAAAGCTCAAGCCGGGAGCTTCTATGGAGATTTTCTTTTGCCACCTGCCTGCGCAGTGTTTCAATCCTTATCAATGGGTTGTGGGCAATGCTCCGATTTTGTTCAAGTCAAAGGAATGGATGGGACCGCCGATTGTGGGTAACCGGTGGGGAAATGGGGCGGACGCTGCGGTAAACGGCGCGTAGCGAGGGTTTATGTCAGTAACGGAGCTCAAGCCTGAAATGAACAAAGACCCGGTTGACAGCACATCAAAGATCTCCCTTGACAGTTGTTGACACTGATTGAAACCCGACCAGTTGCGACCATGGCATCCATGGGCGGCGCGCCAAACACGTTCGCTGACGGGCCGGGCCATAGTGCCGCCGCAGCACCGCCGCAGCGAAAGAAACCCGAGCCTCTGCGTCTTGACCATCTGGGGTCTGTTTGCCGACCCTGACATGGAGCCAGGCTAACGGTGGGCACAGCATGAATCCGTCGAGCATCGTTGGGAAAGTGCTCAAATCTGTTCGACGGTCGCCAAAGCACCCAGCCCTCACTCTCTACTTCGTCGATGGGACCCGGGCTCAGATTCTGGTTGAAGCATACAATCCCTCGCATCCAGGCGTCCCCAAGACACTCGAAATGGACTCGCTGCTCAATGAACTGCTGAACACTCGAGAGTCCGATAGCCTTGATCTGACGGTGAAAGACTGTGCCTTCATCACGTTGTCGGACAAGGCGTTTGCTCTGCACTCCTCTGCTCAGTGGGACCAGCGCCATCTGGGTCTTGCCTTCAAGTTTGCATCCGCTCTGCAGCCCGGCCCAGACAGCGATGCTCCTGACGTTCGAGTGGGCGGCTGGCACTGCGTGTGGGCGACCCTGCAGGACCACGATGATTCTACCGGGGAATGTGTCTTCCGGACATATGACGATGTCTACCTCGAGGATCTGCAGCGATCACCACGCAAACAGCGAACGCGTCGGACCCGGAGCGGGTCCTCGCCCATCGCAGTTCCCTAATCCTGCAGGACCCTGCGGTGCATTTCTTACTGCTCTCGACTTGATTTCATATCGCTCTCGCGCTTTCGTCTGTCCAAAAACTCGTCTGTCCTCTGTTGTACTGCATCTCACTAATCACATCCAACTGTATTCGCATCTATGTCCGATGCACCATGTCGGGAAAAGATCATCCTTCGTCATATAAACTCCGAGAAGTTCTGCAAATCAACTGAGATGATATATTCTGCCTTGAGCACACCACTCTGGAAATCAATCAGAGGACCTGCGCCCGCACACGGCACAGCCACAGCGCGCGACATCGGCTGGGTGATTAGTTACACCAGGAATCCATATATGGAAATTAACCTGGCTGATCTAGACTCTGGCCGTAGTCCGACGAGGCCAGGGTCAGGGCCACATCAACTGGACCTTGCCCATACGACCGCACGGCCGATGAAATTCATTTTCCTGTTACACAGAGGAGCTGAAGGACTGGAAATCGCGATGATTGACATCGACAATGGATGGCACCTGACACCAAGCATGATGTCTCTCTTGCAGCTGGTGAGTCAACACTCGAAGATCTGTCTGTTCGGCGAGGAAAGATGGTTACCCGCTCCTACATACATGTATATCAGCATGGACCATGCCATGAAAGGTGAAGAGAATTGATATATAGCACACAAAATCAGCGGCTCGCTCAGGTACCGATTTCCGGGAAGTGACGTCTGTAGCCTGTTAGCCTTTAACTGCAAAGATCGACACACCGCCTAGACCGCCTTGGATTCTATGCAGCGAGTAGTGCGGGCAGCTGCGGCCGAGGTTCAAGCGGAACGGGGGCCGATAGCGTCTGTCCAGGTCCCAGAATCATCCTCAGACGTTATTGGGTAGCGACGACCTTATGGCAGCTCGCGACGATGGACTTCGTAGACCAAAGAAGTAGAATGGCAGCGAGTAACGATCCCTTGCTCCGGTAGGCCCGATGCCTTAGGAGCAGACGTGAGACTGCTTCGTATAGTATACGATACAGCATAACAACTATCTTTCTGTCCCATTGATACCGACAAGTAGACCGCAGAGTATTGGCACCGACGTCACAAGATGTCGGCAACATCCGTCGAAGCAGAAGCAAGGCTAGTCTGTACAAGGCAGGTAAAGCCGTGAGCTAGAGCAGCAGTGCAGCTTCCAAGAGGAGCTAACAAGGGAGAGTTCTGAGGCTCGAGAACAGCGAGACGATGGGTGTGAGACACCAAGTTGCGAAACGCGTGACGTGTGTGACCGGTCGTGCTCTTCTCAGAACCATTTCCACTCCTATGCCGCCATCGATCTCCTTCGCGCCGCTCACGCCAAACAACCTTGGCACGGTCCGAAAACTAAACTCTGTGCTGTTTCCGATCCGTTACAGCGAAAAATTTTATCAAGAAGTTCTGACACCCGAGGTCGAGGAATTCTGCAAACTCGGTCTCGTCCTTCGCTGAACTGAGATCTGCCGGACACTGAATCTGTCCTCAGTGTATTACAATGATATACCAGGTCCGTGGACATCCCCCAACAACTAGCGGATCGGGTCAGAACTACGACAGTGGGAACCGTTTGCTGTCGGTTGGAAACCCAGGATCGGGAGGTCTCGTTATATCTGATGACCATGGGTATACTTGCCGTGCGCCGCGTGATTTGATCTTTCTATGCTATCTAAATGCGTTGAGGGCAGCCGTACCGGTCGAGACAATTGGGATCAACTAGCCTGCAAAGCATCTTAGATGCTGCATCGATCCACACCAAACCCAAAATCGACCGTATTTATCTGCACGTCCAAGTCTCGAACGCGGACGCCAAGAAGTTCTACGAAAGACACGGTTTCGTAGAGACGGGGATCTTTGCCAACTATTACAAGAAACTTGAACCCCACGATGCATGGATCTTGGAGAAGCGATTAACAGAGAAGGAGGCGCCATAGGAAGGTGTGTCATTGGATTGATTGAAGATTATTTGCCCGCTTGATCTGTACGACTGTAGACAACAACAACTATAGATGTACTTTTCGCTCTATGACCACGAGTCATCCGGTTTGCCACAGCCCTTGACCAACTGCGCTGAAATTCAATGTTGGCTGTTACTGAGTACACGAGAGCGACGGACCTGATGCCGTTTCAACGCGTCTTTGCGCGTGAATGTCTTTCCACACCCTCCATTGCACAAAAACGGCTTTTCGCCCGTATGTGTCTCCCGATGTCGCTTGAGATCGTGCTGGCGGTTGAACGACAAAGCGCACATGTCGCACGCGTATGGGCGGGCAGACGTCGCCGAATAGTCTGCATATCCCGTTACCTGCGCGAGGGGGATTTGCTGTGGGTACTGGGAATGTGGGGATACCGGAGGCGCGTGTTGAGTCATGTAGCTAGAGGAATGCGATCGTGGGCGCGAAGGCGATGCCGGTTCGGGGTACGATTGCGAATAGGGCTGCGCGATGGAATGGGGCGCTTGTGGATATGGATAGGAAGCGTTGTGGGGGTAGCCCGATCGACTTGACCCGCTCCCCGACGCGTACATGTGTGATTGGGAGGGCGCCGGCGGCGACTGATAGTATGCATCCGGCGCATACTGCTGTGATTGGGCGCCCGAGGGATACGCTGCGGGATGGGCGGATGAGTAGTCAGAGTACTCGACCGCGTTGGGGCTCCATTGCTCGGCGGGATATGGGTTGTGTTGGATGGACATTCGGCGGCGGTCCGACATGGTTGGCTTGGGCTGGACTGGGAGTGTGGGCCCCGCGCCTTATAAGCCGATCTCTCCTGGACCAAATCGGAAGGCGTGTTCGAAAGCAACATGACGCGCTGCCAATTCCATTGAAAGCCTAAGTTAGACCAGAAAGCGCAGACATCAGCGTTCCTGGGAGAGCTGATGAGCATCTTGATAAAGACACCGGCATTTAGACCGAATCTGCGCTAGCCTTGGGCACCAGGCGAAAGACCGTGACAGGCTGCCTGTCACCGCACAACGGCTTGTCAGCGCTTATGAGGCATGCCGATCAGGCGCGCAGGCGAGCTTTCGCGAGCGCGAACAAGTCTCCTCCGAATGGGACTGGTCCCTGCAGCACTTGTGGGCGTGCGAGTGTGCACCATCGAGATCCCCCCGCCTGACACACGTTCCACGCGTCCTTCAGCCGTCGCACATCCACAGAAGCCGGGTCAAGTCAAGGTACAATTGACGGTCAAAGAAGATGGTGCTGCACAGCATCTGACAAAATCAACTATGATATCGTCTCGGAGGATATTCCGCCTGGCTGGACAAGCCATCGAATGATGCCAAACTGGGACAAGGACGAGCCCGATGGAGCACCAAGGTCCAAGATCACCCAAGGCTCGGCGACGGCAGTCTCCGCAACCGGGGAAATTGCATGACGAAGTTCCAGGACGACAGCTGCAGCAGCAACCAGCCTCGACAGTCCTCCCAGGGCATGTCAGAGCTGAAACACCGACGATGGCGCGATCTGGGTCGGGCGGCGCACGTGAACTTCTGTCGGGAGCCGATCCCAGGGCTGAGTCTCAACTCTAAAAGTTTATGCAGCCCTCGCGATTGAGAGACTGCTGCTTCTTCCGCCAACCTCGAGGATTGAGACGTAACAGGGCACCTACAGGCAGCCGTCCGGGGATTGCCTTGCAACTCAATTGGCAGAAAACGCTCGGGTCGCGCAAGAAGACAATCATGAGTATCCTTTTAATATAATGTCCAACAGATCTCGGTAGTCTCCGCCTTCTCCAGTAGCTTGTCCGCTGCTGCCAAACACAGCATCTAGCGTCTCTGACACGCGGCCGTTCTCAAGCAAGACGGCCCATTCAGCATCCCGATCCACCTGCGGAAGCTGTGTTTGCCATGCGTGGTAAGACTGCAGCATCTCAAACTTGATTCTGAGCGGAGAGACACCAGGCGACGAGGTCGATGTCTGCATCAGCCGCATGATGTCAGAGGCAGGAGGCCCCCGGAATTTGTTCGCCAGCGAGGCAACTGCGGGAGTGGCGGGTTCCTGCGCTGTGACTGGTGGCGCCTTGCCATTCGCCCGTGCCAGGGGCCGAGGCCGGGCGACAGGTCTCGCATGGACGGCACTGTCGTCGAGATACTTTTGGTAAAACGCGACCTTGAACTTGTTAACAGCCGGCGACGACGCAAGTCCGCTCAAAATAGAACTGATTTGTTCGACTGAGAAAGTGCCCGATAGACGATTGAATATCCCTGCAACAAGCAGCGGGAAGTCCAGATGGCTGGTCGCCGACAGATTAATCAGCTGTGGTCCGTCAGTGGAATTCAGGCAGCGGACGAGTTTCTACCAAACTCATCAACTCCAAGCCCATCATACAGCGGGCATTGTCGGACTGCTCTAGACAGAACAGCATGACATCGAGAACAGCATCAGTGTCTCTACGGGTTGGCGTCCCTAGCTGTTCAAGAAGAAGTATAGAATGTCGGGCTATGTTCCGATCAGCCAACCAAAGATTGTCTGGAACAGTGCACTCTTACGTCGCAGTTCATTCTCTTCTTCATCACGCTTGAATATAATCAATAGCCAATGGAGAACAGGCCACGCATTTTCTCCCACAACTTCGGATCGCAACGAGTCCCCGGTTGATCCACTAGTGGCCCGAGATCTCCCTCTCCGCGTCAGAGCTTCCGAAACGCGCTGATCGGCGAGGAATCCCCGAGAAAGTATCTCCCAGCAGTGCTTGGAACGACTGATGCACAAGGACTGCGCGGCAACGAAGCAGTCGGCTTCGTCCGCATTGAGCGATTCGCGCTGATCAGCGGGACGCAATGCTCGCATGACAGAATGTGGGGAGTTCGTCATGGCGAATGAGACAAGCAGTTCCTGAGCCGCCGCGGTAGCATCAGGTGTTGGCAAGAGATGCGCTTTCTTCTGCCTCTTGCTGGGTGATGCTGAGGAGTTTGTGTTGAGGGTGTCAAGTGAGGTATACAACGCCATGTAGAGCAGTTGCCGAATGTGTGATCTACGCGACATGAGCCCATAGGTCAGAGTCGCGAGCGCATACACACGCGGAGGGTCGGTGAAACGGGGATCGTAATTCATTGAGAACATGGATAGCTGATTGGTATTGACCCTCTTCGAGACACGTATCCACAAGATTTTGTTGGTGCCGTGGCATCTCTGATTCGACACGTTTTCGGAGATCCGATTCGGCGTGTTGTCCAGCGACCATGGTGGGTGGTATTGGCAGGTACGCGTTGTGAGTGACGGTCACGCGTTTGATGGGAGAGATCGGAGTAGATGATCCGTGATTCGTCGCTACGTCAGCAGAATTTGCTCGTCAAGGAGTGGCATTGACAGGCCTCGACTGCGACCGCATCCTTGCTTCATTGGCATTGCACGGGTCGCGCACGGACGGGGTTTCGCTTGAAGCCAACTAACAAAAGCCGCTCCTGTTTTAAGGTACTTGTGCTTCATGCTGGCTACACGACATTGAGCTGATCCACATGCTTGGCAAGACAACCGCTGGCGATCATTGCTCTAGTCAAGCGTAGTGATCCTCAACCAGATCTCCTTACTGTGAGATGCGGAAAGCCACTGCCGTTCTAACACCTATTGCCCATCGTCGTATCCTCGGTAGAACATTTGCAAGCACAGCGCGCGGAATCATGTCGGAGCCTGGGCCTATTGAGTCGGCTATTCGTGACAAGGCAAGAGATTCGACTGGACGGCTATGGCTGGGAGCCCGTTCTGATGTGCAGCGTAGCTGACAGCGCAGTTCAATCCCATCCGACTGACCATCATCAACGATTCGTCGAAACACCGCCATCACGCGCCCATGCGAGCTGACCCAGCCTCCGCCGCGTCTGGTGAAACCCGTCCGTGCTCTCCTTTGTTGCAATGCAACACGTCATGTCCCCGTTCTGATGGCGCGCAGATTTCTCGGTCCAAATTGTTTCAAACGCCTTTGAGTCGAAGGTGATGATCTGTTTCTACCGTTATGATTTGCGTGATTCTCATCCCGTAGACCACCATGCAACGACATCGCTTGATCTACTCGGTGCTCAAGTCGGAGTTGGAGGCCGGTCTGCATTCGTTATCACTGCAAACAAAGACAGAGGAGGAGAGTAGCGGATCAAGTACCAGCTGATACGCAGGGTCAATTGATTGTGCTTTCCGGGTGACTTGCACAGGCATTCAGCACGTAAGCTGTCTTGATTGGAAACCAACTCTCTGTGTCAATCCATGTCCGCGATCTGCGAATGCGGATGTTCGCTACATTGCCCGTTGCCAAAGCCCTGCAACTTTCTTGATGTCTGCCGCGCTGCACCGCCCATCTGTCCTGGAGACAACGTTGACATCTCGACACCCACATAAATCTGCAATTACCCGAGAGTCTACCCTGATCGATGCCCTTAAAAACGGTATCGACTGAGCATTTGCAGTGATCTGATACCTGCCTCGATGGCATCCTCTTCTCGCAGCAGCAGCAGTGCGCGCAGCCGATTCTCCGACCGTCCGGTCCTTCCACCTATCCGCGATCTCTTCCGAGGTGGGTTTGCTCGTCGCCGTCGGGCATCGCGCTGAAACGCTATCACAGAGCTTGCAGCCTCGACCACTCCCCCAGAATCTCCTGCGGTGACCCTAGCCCGACTGCGGCTGAGCGACGATGAGGATCTGAGCCACTGCCACTCGCGCTCAAGGGTGAGCCGCCTTGAACCAGCTGCTATGCCCGAGTCCATGCCCTGATTCCAACGTCGACAGCCGCCGTCACGGTCAGACCCGTACAGGCAGCAACAACAGCAGCCGCAGTCACGACCACGACCCACAGTGCAGCCAACGCCACCGCACTATGATTATCCCGGGTACCCTACTGGCCCACAACCCTACTACGGGTCCATGCCTCCCATTTCCACTGCGATGCGCGGCAGCGCACCTCGACACGACGACGAAGATCGGACCCCAATAGCCCGATACCAGCAGCAGCACACACCGCGAGAGCACTCACCGTCCAAGTTTGAGTGCAACTACTGTGGCAAAGGCTTCACTCGCCCCAGCAGCCTCAAGGTAAGCGTGTGTCCCTGTGTTTGTTTCAAACCTGGCTGAGGGTCGCGCAGATTCATATCAACAGCCACACCGGAGAGAAACGTACGTGATTTCCGGGCTGCGTTTCGAGGGACTGACGAGACTGGCAGCATTTGTGTGTCCAGTCGAAGGCTGCTCGCGGAGATTCAGTGTTTTGAGCAACATGCGCAGACATGCGAGAGGACACGCCAATCCCATGAGCGAGGAGGGCACGAGCGAGGAGGGCATGTCTTCCGCGAGATGGACTCACCACCGTCGTCTGAGCAGCGCATCTGGGTCGAGCTCTGGTTACCGCAGCGGGAGCGTTTCGTCTGACGACGGCCGCTTCTAATTCAGTCGCCGTGTATTTATTGGCCTATTTATGTCGCATATTTATTATCTGTAGCACCTAGTTTGTATACAAAGGAGATAAGATTAGCATTAAATAAGACTGGTTTGGGTATATGTCATCACAAGGAGATAGCGCGCCCGCCTTGTTTGGGCTCGCGCAGAGCCGAGCGACCGCGTTCTCGGACGGTCCCCTGGCCATACGATGGCTCGTGCGGGGTCTGGCCGTACGAATTGGGCTGTGGTTCGAACATCTTGTCGGCCCGCACATTGCTGATGACCCGGGGACTCTTGTGTGTAAATCCGGCAAAGGCCAGAGCCTTGCGCACATCGAGGATCTCTGCTCCGTGGACTGCGTGTCGCAGCAGAGGATCCCGCGTCGCATCAGGGGGTGCCCCGTTGGCCGGGGCAAGTGGCTACACGATAATCAGCCATCAGCCTACGTAAGCATCTGCAGAAACAGACCTCGGGCGGAATATCCGGGTCAAAGTGACGAGTATCTTCCGGTGCTCGCAGTTCTGGATGGTACGGTGCAGGGTATCGGTGGATGTTAATCCAGTCGATTCCCCGGAACCAAGGATGAGCCTGACGCATTCTTCAGCAACTCTCATCGCGGAAAACCGTACCACAAACCTTGATCAGTTCGGCCCCGTCAAGGGAGCTTCCTGGGACTACAAAGGCACTCCGACGGGCTTGGGTCACCATCGAGTCAGGTCTCGAGGTTGACACTGATGTCTGGGAGCCAATCCGATCTTCCGGTTCGCACAGAAGCTGCTGCATGAGATTGACTCCGTCCCGCGACACTGCTTGCTGGGCTGGAAACCGTAGAGATTGTTTCCAATTGAGGATCTTCTGACGTGTCACGTGTCGCTGAGCGCGTTGATGAGAAACGTGCAATCGTCCCAGAAAAGACATACAGAGTTGCTAACAAATGGCGGGAACCTGGAAGGAAAGAGAAAAAAAAATGAGTTTGGGACAGGATGGCGCAACGTAGACACAAACCCGTATAGGCATTCGTACATGATCACACCTAGACTCCACCAATCGCAGGAGTAAGAATAACCGTGACCTCGAATTACCTCGGGAGACACTGGAAGACATTTAACATTGTAACAAGGGTTAGAGAGGCCGTCACGTCACGCACTGTACGAGTTTGTGCCACAGCTTGTCGTCCGTGAGTATGGACAAGCAGAAATGAAAATTGAACGCACACAGAATAGGCCAGCTTCAAGACAGTCAGCACAGTAAATGAACGTGCGGAGAACTCACCTTGCGGCGGTTCTTCTCTCGCCAGGTGAAAATACCGCCCTCGCCGTCACCTCCACCCATGAGCAATTCAATCTGTTTGGGATCCATGCGTCTGGTCTTGCGGCCGTCTGCAATGCCATTCGAGTCCTCGAGATCGATACCATGCTTGTGCAGCAGGTGAAGGCGCTGTTGCTCGTAGTCTGACGCTCATATTAGCCCCGTGATCGATATCGGCGGCTATGTTTCCGTACAAGATGTGTCGTGAGCCCAGTGCAGGTCCGTCCTGGAGGAATACTACGTGAGTATTTGACAGACGAGACATGGGCAGCACTGACGCCAGTCCGAAATCACTCAATTTGATGTGGCCAGAAGGATCGAACAAAAAGTTCTACAAATTGTCAGCAGAAACGCAGGGACGCGGGACATGGCAGACGTCTGGTTTGATGTCACGGTGGATGAAGCCGTGCTTATGGCACGATTCAATCGCAAGAATCATCTAGACCCACCGCTGTCAGTACTAAACACCTCCAATGGACCGGCCCGCACCTCAGCCACATAGAATCGAGTGAAGCCTTCGTCAAACACGTCCCGCTCAATCAGCAGATTCAGCAGATCGCCTCCACCCATATACTCTAAGATCTACGATCTTCGTCAGCTGCCCTACGTTATCGTATCTCACTTGCACCACGCACCAGGTAAAGGTGGTCACGGTCCTGGAAACTGTAGAACAGGTGCACAATCCACTCCGCGCCCCCCGGTGCGTTGACAAGAGATGCAGTCTTCAGAATGTCGCGCTCAGCTCGCACATGACCCTCTTGTCCTTTCCGAAGCATGTCCGTTTTGCGCAGCTTGAGATTGATCAGTATAAGCTTCGCGACGGTCACTCGGTCTCACCTCCTTCATGGCATACAATTTTCCACTCGACTGCTCCTTGACCAACGATACCACACCAAACGCTCCATGTCCGATAGTCTTCAGCTTCTTGAACGCAGTGACATCCACCCGCCGTCTCTTGTCTCTAAGGTAATCCGACTCATTTTGGAACCACCGCATGCGCAGGTTCTCCTTCTGAGCGTGACTGAGCTTCATTTCGGCCATATCACGTTCCATCGCCAGTCTGCGTTGTTCGCGTGAAGAAGGTTGTCGGAAAAGGGGAAAGTACAGATTCTCAAAGTAGATGCGAGCAGAGACCGCCTTCTCTAAAGTGGCGAGAGAAGGTGTGATTGGTTTCGGGGGCGGGGGAACGAAATGCGCTTCTTCAGATTCATGCGCAGCAGTTTCGTCCGCCTCTCGGTGTGCTTGGAGGCCTCCAGCCCATCGGATTGTCGAGTTGCCCGGTCGGCCGAGAATCTCGGGTGAAGGCAATGACGGAGTCAAGAAGTTCTCACGCGCCGCAGTGGTCAGCGTCGAAGAAGTGGTCGTGGTACTTGGGCCCCCGTTGACGACTCGAAGGGGCCCCAGGATGTTACCATCGTAAGCGTTGTCAACCGAGGGCTTCATCGCATTGACAACCTCGTTAACAGCTCGGGCTTGGTTGGTCTGTCGGACTCGGTTCTTGATCGGGTTTGCCCACCGGGGATCTAGAGGCTGCTGTGAACAATCGAACGAGGTGACAACAGGGATGGCCGACCTCCTAACTTGCCCATGCCATCGGGGCCCCAGCGAGTGAGAAGAGCCTCGAATTGGTCTGCATCGGAAGCATGAACAAGGTGCCTGAGACGTATAAGCATCAGGAAGAACTCAGTTTGGTGGAGAATGGACAGACACGAATCCGGTAGGACGAGATACCATGTCCTTGCTGATTCTCCGGGCTTTTCGGGATGGCGGGGATACGGGTTGCGATGCGGTGGTAGGTGGGAGTCCGGGCTTGATTTCCTCGTACCTGGGCCCAGCGACGACCGGCTCCTGTTCTCCCGTTGCTGCTCCCCATAGGAAGCGGGAAGCAGCGGCAGATGGAGTGGGGATTATGGAAAGAAGGTCATAGAATCCTGTCCCGATCTCGTTGGCCGAGTCTGAGATGGAGGGATCGAAACTTACCCTTGTGAAGAAGCGTTCCACCGCGCAGGGTTGTGGGTATGGGGGGTGGCTGTTGTCGATAGGAATACGGTGCGAATTGCGAGCCCATGTAGGGATATCCATCAGGGTGAAATGAATCGTATCGATAATCGTCGTCGTACGGAGATGCTCGTGCCTTGACCGTGGGAGGCGTCGGCAACGGGCGTGGTCGGTACGCCATGGACACCGGTGCGTCGTTGCCGTCTGAGGGGACAGTGCGTCAACCTTCCTGATGGTGACATAGGAGCGCTGAGGCTCCCAATTATGGTCACTGATGATGACAAATCGAGAGCACGGGCTAGAGCGTGGCGGTACGCTCATGTTTGACAGTGCTGCACGTGACGACGCGGAGACTCGCTTACGTTTGCCGATTCACCATGTCGGGGAGCTCTTACCGATTACGATCATCCTCCACTTCGCAAAGTCACTGCATCTTGAAGACACCGTTCACACTCGGATCATGTGTTTTCGCGAGGTTACCTCCACTCGGTGTGATTATCGCCCATCGGTACGTACACGCTCTCCGCTTGTGAGCCTCGTGTGCAAGCCAACCGTGTCGTGCCGACAACCGTTGCCTGCTGAACCTGTGACGTCTCTCATCCCACTGCCAGCGTCAAACGCAGCTCTTCTCTGCCGCCGACCTTGCGGCACGTTTCCTCGGGGAGGGAAGAGGATTGACTCCGATGCCATCGTTTGTTCTCAGATCCGGGGATGTTTTCGACATCAGTCAGGGTGCTGTGCTGCGTAGCGGCCCAACCCTGACGCTCTTTGTTTTCCGCGATCCTCCCAGACAGTGTGGCATTTGATGCCGACCCAGCCTCGGAGCCCACGAGGCCTCTCATTCGAGTCATCAGTGACAAGCGTAATGAACTCGTGTTGCACCACTTTTGTGGAAGGATTTTTGTTCGAGGTCCGGCGAGCTGGCTCCTCGCAACCTCCGCAGGAAGCTTGTTGGCGATTACCAGTTCGGTAAACCGGTCAATAAGCTTTTTGGTTAACAGGCGGGGTGCATGCCATCGCCCCTTCCCTCTTCGCACCAAACTGTGTCTTACGCGCGTTCGCCCTTGCCCTACTTGCCATACTCCGCGTGGCTCTGCTACATGCTTGTAGCAGCTTGTCTGACGCTACCTTCCCACTGTCCCTGATTTGCCTCGCCTCCGTTTCAAGCGTTCGAGTCCTGCAGTGTCGCGTTCACCGCGTGTTTCCTTATACTTAATCCTCGTTGACACCCGGGAAATCATCACTAATATTCGTTCCCTTCTCTTCATTTAACTACTCGGCTGGCAATGTCGACCCGAGATGACCGTTATTACAACTCGCATCGGGCACGCAGCCCCTCTGCAGACCAGAGCGGCGGCTTTTTCCAGACGGGACAGGGTGGGCGGACTCTTCTTCCGCCTATTTCTTCGGCATCTCCAATCTCACACATTCCAGGTTGGTGCTTTTTCCCTTTGAACGAACGCGTCGCTCAACTACTTGTCCAGTGCCCCCTCATTCCAGCCAGTTCCAGTCACGTCGTTTTGAGTATAATCAGCCGTGCAACAACCAGTGGCAGCCTAATAACGCTCGTGTGTGACTGCGCTCGCTTGTGTACTCTGGCTAACATCTCGAAGCTATGCCCGCCCCCCAGCCCAGCTACTTTTATGAGGACACGCGCTTCGCGTCGTCACAGCCAGCGTACTCCGCGGCAATGTACGTTCCGCGCTCAGCATCAGTTGCCCCAGGCCAGACCTCCGACATGCGGAAGCTACCGCCGCTGAGTACGACTCCTGGGCCAGCTCGCGATGACAGATGGAACAGCTCCTACGCGCCTCATGGCTTCAACGGCGCTCAACAAAACACTGGGATCCGATCGCCGACTGCGTCGTACCCAGTCCCATACAACTCCGCTTATCAGCAACCACCCAACTATTCGTACCAACCCCTAGGCACGCATATGATGCCCGATGCACTGCGCTCGAGTTCCCCGTACGGCCGAGCCCCGCCGACACCGCCACCGGTGTCGCCGACGAGCGCCGACGAGCCCACGGTCAAGAAGAAACGGAAACGGGCTGATGCAGCCCAATTGCGAGTGCTGAATGATACGTACGCCAGGACCGCATTTCCGTCGACGGACGAGCGACTAGCGTTAGCCAAGGCCCTCGACATGTCGCCGAGAAGCGTCCAAATCTGGTGAGCCTTCATTTCGGGTCCAAGACCTGATATTAAACCCCGGATAGGTTCCAGAACAAGCGGCAGTCGATGCGACAGACGAATCGGCAGAGCAATTCTGCGCACCAGTCGTTCTCGCTCTCGTCGGACGAGCAGGGCATCGACGACGGGGAGTACGAGCCCCGGGGATCGGCACAGCAGGTGTCCTCTTCCCATCGACGTGGCAGGAGCCAGGAGGAAGCCATTGACTCTCGAAAATGGGGCCCCCGGGGCTACTGAATGGACGTTCGCTCGTGGTTGCTAGCGTCACTGGCTTCTTGGTGGGATGAGTTTCATTCCTAGATCCTTCTTGGCTTCCTAACTTATGTGCCTTAATCTCACGCTATTTCGCTCAGATCTCGTCGTGACGGACCTGTTATTGATTACATACCGTACTGCCACCCCCCACCTAGTTATGGAGATCGCTCGCACTTGTTGTCTGTTCACTTACTTAGTTATATATCCCAGCATTACTGTAGACACTACTGCAAGCAGACTGATTTACATACCGAGTACGATATAAGTCATCTCCGGTGTATTCTCTAGATAAATAATACACACCAGCTACCTACACAGGCTCGGTCTCGCTGTCAGTGTCCTCTGGCTTCGGCCCACCGTGGGTCAGCCAGGCCAGCTTCCGCAGTCGCCGACGCTCCTCCTGCGCCTTGACCTGGTTACGGGTCGGCTTCTTCTTTTTCCGGGCGACCGGCTTGGGCGACCCATTGTCCTCCTCCCCACTTCCAACGGGCGTTCCGTTCACCGAAGCAGCGGGCGTCGCCAGACGAGAGCGCGCTGGGGTGTTGGCCCCGCTTCCTTTGGGTGATTTCCCGTCCAAAAAGGCGTCCTCGACGATCCCAGCTTTGCCCTGTTGCTTCATCCGCCCAGCTTCCACATTCCAGATCTCAGGACCTACAGCGCAGTCAGCCATCCGTCGATGCCCTTCGGATACCACTTACATAATGCACCCACAAACTCTTCGTTGTGGGAGATGATAACCTGCGCAGGCTCAGATCACACCGTAGCGCATGGTCGATATGACTCACCACAGCACCGGCCCAGTCTCTGATGGCGACGGCAAGGCCCCCTAGTGCTTCACGATCCAAGAAGTTACTCGGTTCATCCAGAATACAAATCTAGAAACAGGCCGTTTAGCACACACGGACGTAAAACAGGGGCGAGATCTCACCTGAGGGTTGTTCCACAAGCAAGCAGCGATGACCAGCTTGATCTTCTGGCCACCGGACAGTCCAGAGATCTCGTTGTACTGCGCGATATCTCCATCGAGACCGATATCCTCCAGATGCTTGCGGACGAGATGGGCTGCCGTGTCACGCGTTCCAGCACCTTCACGTGACGACTCGAGGTCATCGAATTGCTGCACTAGTTTCGAAAAGCCCTTGGCAATCAACTCTTCACGCGGCACCCAGGTATTCCATTTGTGGTCTAGGCCTTTCCACTTGACTTCGTATTGGAAGTTCTTCTTCAGTTTTTGACGACCCATCACCATCTGGTGGGACTCGGTCAGCTTGCGTCAATGACCGATCGTGGTGAAGCAGACCTCGAACTTGCGCTTGGATCCGTCTCTGCCGACCCAATCCTGATCGAGCGCCTTCTGCTCTTCGTCCGTCAGCACGCGAGTTGCTTTCTCCAACAGTTCACCTGTCACATATCAGGATGATTCAAACCCTGACAGCCCGAGACGCACGATCATGGCCGTCCTGGAAGCGCCACTGGATGTATTGAATTGGTGTCTTCTCGAGATGGCGTTCTGCAGGCAACTGAGATGGAACACAGGGGAAACAGAGATGCCAGGCAGACCTATGTGGTGGGTCGCATGCTGAGAAACGTAACCGACACGCAAAGCCGGGTGCTTGTACACGGTTCCCTCTTGCGGAACTGTTTCACCCTGGGCAGCGTGAGATTCCGTCGGCAGCACAGACACATACACGCACCGTCAGCAGTTTGATCAAAGTCGACTTGCCCGCTCCGTTGGGCCCAATAACACCGACACGACTGGGGCTATATCAACACGTGACCGAGTTGCATCATGTTGCGCCACGGACCTGGACAAGGAGAGCGCACAACTGACGTTATACAAGCTTGGAATCGATCTGCCTGGATATGTGAACGTGCAGTTGGACACCTTGAGGATCGCTCGTGTGTTGCTGCGGACGCCCATCAAAGATCCCGGCGCAGGGAAGGAAAACTTGACAGATGTCGCGGCCAGCGTGTAGTATGACTTGGCCTCGGGGTGGATCGATACAAAGTGGGAAAGATTTCCCGGGTAAAAGACGAGCTACGACATATTTCATGGGGTGTCTTCAGGCTGAGCAATCGAACGTACCTTTTTCGACTCGTAGTGGATGATGTCGGTGGTCACATTGTCGAGGAAGCTGTGCCCAAGGATCAGCAAGCGTGGCAGCGACCGTGCTCGACGGCATACCCGGAGTCGTGACTGATTACCAGGCAAGTGACGTTCTTCTGGGCCTTGAGGTATTTCTCGAGCCACAGGACAGATGCGCGATCCAACTAGAAGGATGAGACCCGGAATAGAACACAGCACAGACGAACATACGTGGTTAGTGGGCTGTAGCACAGTTCAGATGGGGAAGTAAGCCAGCTTAGATCGCACTCACCTCATCGAGCAGAAGGATGTCTGCGTTGTACAGCATGGCTCGACCAAGCTCGAGCTTCATCTTCCAGCCGCCGGATAGGCCACCGACAAGATCGGACTGGCGAGCATCATCGAACCCAACCTCGAGTAGCTGATCCCGAATTTTGGCCCGCGGAATCTGCTTCAGCTGGGGATCTAAACAAGGGTCAGATTCGGGGAGGTCAGCACACAGATGACAGACCAGATGCGATGAAATCGATGACCGACAAGGTAGTGTCTTCTCCCTGGAGGGCATGCTCGACCATGACAGTGCGTAGCTGAGATTGGGGCGGAAAGTTTTCGACTTTGCCGTCGCGTAACTGGCGCATGAGCGTTGACTTGCCAGACCCGTTCGTCCCGAGGATACCATAACGGCGACCGCGGATAAGGCGGAGGGTGGTGTGTGATAGCAGAAGCAGAGCACCATAAGCAAGAGAGAACAGTGTGTCACACAGCACCTCGCCCTCTTCGTCATCCGCAGCCACAACCTGGTACTTTGCCTGGGCCAATGTGTGTTAGTAGAGCGACCGAACCTCAGCCCTTATCCAACGCACCTGCTCAATCGCGTGGAAATGGGAGCGCACCGCTTCGCTAAACGCCGTCGCTCGCTCACCATCGGTCCATGGTTCCAGGAAGACGCCAACGCAGCGATACCAGATCTGCTTATCTCCGAATGCTCGCCCGTGAACCAGATCTGCTACTAGAGATGCTTGGAAGGCTAGGGATTGCGCCAAGAGAGAGAATTTAGCAGTCCGGGGACCATTCGGAGGACCTGTTGCGAGGTCCTCGGGCAGCAAAGTCAGAAGAGTCGTCTGAGCTTCTGATGTTTCTCCGCCGATATCACGGTTCTCGACTACTGCCCCAGCAGCAGACGCCCCGGATTTGATCAGAGTCTGCAGTGCTGATTCTCCGAATGCACGAACCTACACATCAACGGTTAAACATCATTCAATACAGAGGAAAACTAGACATACTTCTGGGAAGGCGGCGCCTTTAGCAATCTTCTCTACGCCCTCCACAAGCGTGCTCAAGTACTGTGCGGCAACCTTGGGATCTCGGACAAGCTTCACTAGATTGTCTATCACGACCACAGTGCGACGCTGCGTTTCCATGCTTCGATCGTTCAACGCGCGAATCAACAGCGGGACAAGGACAGCCAAAGCCGGGGCGGTGACTTCAGCGACAAAAGTGGTCGAAGACAACGCTTTGATGCAGGCAGGGACGGAGTCCGGGTTGGCCATGCATTTCACGAGAACAGGAATGTGAGGTGCGAGGTCGGGATTTGCAAGTGTAGCGCACAATGCGGTTGCACACTTGACTGCGGCGGCAGAGACCTAACGATGATCAGAACAAGGGCATGATCCTGAGCTCAAACGACGCACTTCTTGCTTTGTGTCATGCATGGCACCTTCAATCTTCGGCAAAACGTTCACTAGTTCGGCGCCAACAGCATCGCGAGCCGGCGTCACGAAAGACCGGAATGCATCCAGGACGCCGACTTTGGTCCGCCATTTCCCTACAACCAGGATAGACTCCAGTTCACGAAACACGATCCGGGTAGCTTCGGGAGGAAACAATTTGAGGATGGCCTTTACAGCAGCACTCGCCGCAGTGCGCACAACATCGCCCTTGTCCATGTAGAGTTCGAACAAGAAGGGAAGAGACGGGAGGAGGAGAGGAGCAATGGGGGCGCCGAATGTGTTGGCGAGGGACTGGAAGGCGATAGCGGCGGATTCCCGTTCATATCCCGATTTTTTGTTCGTGGCAAAAGCGTAGAGGCCTTTGAGAAGACCCTGATCCCTGAAGTGAGATGAGTTTGATATGCCAATCAGCAGAGCAGGTACATACTCGAGCGATTGGAGACCAGACTTGGAAACCTCGCGAGCAATGCGATCGGCAGCGCCCTTGGCCTCTGATAAGAAAGCAATCAGCCCTGAAGTCCACAAATTACACTCTCGAAGAACATACCTGGAGCCGAAGGTGCTGCCCGAAGCGCCTCTAAAAGAGGCCCGAAATCCGCGGTAGCAACAGGAGACATCTAATGGTAGGATATACAGATGGAAGGAGTTAACCGAGTACAGGCAAGCAAGATACAGAATTAGCAGAGAGTGAAATAGATCTAGGTCAATGGCCGAATTGGTTGCGGAGATCTGCAGTGTAATCCCTGAGGATGGGCGCCGATGGGCGTAACGGGAGGAGGTAAAGCTCTGAAATTTTCCAAGATCAGCAGCCGGCAATACTGCACGTGCGTTGAGGCGGTGCCGATCAGATGTCAATCGAGACAGTTTGTCCCAAGCTCGATTTGTCTTCTTTTCTATCTTGAGATACTACAATGCCAGCCGGTGCAGCTGGCCCCTCTTCGAATTGGCTCGCACTACAGAAGGCGAGCACATAATTATCTACCACGCGCTTTCCTCAACCGCTGTATCATACAGACACTACCCAAAACGAAAACTCGACCACGCGAGTCCCGGGATTCATCCGACTTACCTCGGAAGCGGAGAAAGATCGAGCAGGAAGAATTACCTTCTCACTCCACTTTGAAGACTACGAAGACGTCTGCAACGCGAAATCAAGACAATCATGGAGAGTTGGAAGAAATGCGCAACGGCGAGTCGCTGACAACGTTACGCAAGATGGTTGCAGGGAATGTCGAGTACACCGAGGCCCAGACTCAGTGCGTCGATGATTTTTGCTTCGTGTCGGAGCCATGAACATTATCTGAAGGCCAGGCAAGTATCTCGCCCTCGACTGTGAAATGGTTGGTGTAGGATCAGAAGGCGAGGAATCATCGCTCGCACGCGTTAGCATCGTCAACTTCTACGGTGCCATTCAATTGGATGCTTTTGTCCGTCAGCGAGAGCGCGTTGTGGACTACCGAACTCAGTGGAGTGGCGTCCGCGAATCCGACATGGTCAATGCGCGTCCATTCGATGAAATACAAGGGCGCGTCGCGGCCCTACTAAAAGACCGGATCCTCGTTGGGCACGCGCTTCAAAATGATACCAAAGCATTATTGTTGTCTCATCCGCGTCCGTATACCCGAGACACGCAGCATTTGGCGGGCAAGCACAAAGTCGCCAAGTCCAAATACGTCGCCTTGAGGAATCTGGTCAAGCAGGAGCTGGGGATCGGCATTCAGGAAGGCGAGCATTCTAGTGTGCGTTTCAAGGTTCTCAAAAGTTGCTTGCCCATGCTGATCATCGTTCAGGTTACGGATGCGCGGGCAACGATGGCTGTTTTTCGGATTCATCGTAAGGAATGGGAGAAAGGCTTTCCTTCGTTACCAGCTTCAGGGACAACTCAACCGGACACTGGAGCAAGAGAACGGGACGATGACAATCCGGAATCCGATAGTTCAGACGACGATGATCAGGCGCCGGAGCCTGTACAAAAGAAGCAACCACGTCCACGCAGGCATGCACCAACGAAAGCGAAAGGCATCAGTTCTGGACTGACCACTATCGTGCACAAGCGCGGTGTGGGGAAACGCAACCAACGGACCGCGATTCGGAGTGGGGAGAATCTTCCGAAAGCACAATCGCAATGGTGGAATGTTCTAGGAAACGGTAGTGCTAAAGGGTCCATGTCTCTTCGAATGTGAATCAAACCGCGCTTCATCCGGTCCAGGTTTTGCTGTGCATTCCTCCATCTTAAACAGCCCCACCGGCAATACATTTTACTTCCGCCCCGATCACGTATAAGTGCGAGGATGGCGCTCTCCTTTAACTATCTCCCCCCTCCCACACTCCTTGTTTTCCCGCTCCTGAGATTATCCCCAATCACCGTCCCTCTTTTCCCTCCCCGATGTTGAAAGACCTGCACACCAGCCCGACCTCCTCCTCAAGAACGAGATACCGGCCAGTGTCTCTGCCCGTCTATCTCGATTACAAGAGGGGGTCGGTCGCAGTTTCCCCTGCCTGCAGGCGCCACCCCAGTGGGGCCATGGATTCTCCATCCCCTTCTCCCCAGCACTCCCTAACTTCGAAATCTCCTTTTCTCAACCTCACTGCGCTTCCGCGCTTTGTGCGTCCTGTTCCGCGTACCGCCACAATCCCCTGTCCCACCCAACGGTCCTTCCGTCCCCAACAAAACGAGTCTCGTTGCCTGCAGATGCTGATTCACGGTCTTTTCGTTGCCTTCGAGGACGACTTTGTTGACTCTGGAGTCGCACGAGCCGAAGACCTCCGAGCAGACGGAGGCCGGCCATTCACGCACTACATCTCTCTCTCCACCCGCCATTCTGCCCAAATCAAACCTTGCGCAGAACGCAAGACGGGGGCGCAGAAACTGAAGTTGCGACTTCCCAGGCTGTACAGCCCCGAGCCACCGACTCCCGCTGAAATCGACGCCAAAGTTCAGCGCGCGCGGGACGAAGCACTGGCACGGGGAGAAGCCCTTTGCAAGGAAGACTACTTCGACATCCTGTTCGACGAGGGAGAAGCCAGTCGATTCACGTCTCTTGACGAAAGGCAGCTCCTCGCAGTACGAGATTTTCTGTATGAGTCTGGGCTGAGCACGGATGAAAACGTGCGAGTGCTGCTGACCACACCGCGGGATCACAGGACGGATGCTATGGCGGCCGTCCTGGGCTACCTCTCGCTTGTCCTCGGCCATCGCATGGCTCATATTTTGCATGCGCAGGACAACCATCCCAGAATCCTCAGCATCTGGAAAGACTCCATCTCCCGCGAGTGCATTGAGTACCTCGAGGATGTTTCTCGTTTGTCATAATCGTTCCTTTCATTTTGCAACCTTATCATAGTCTCGTGCGTAATACTTGATCAGGGTGTAACTAGCCCTCTTTTTCACGTGATCGCGTTCAGCACCTTCTTTTGCACCACACTCAAACCATCATCGGCAAACGAAGCTACCCACCTCATGAGACATTCTTATCAAGTCTTGAATGTATCCTTTCAGAGGTAAAAGTGCTCTATCAGACGGCACGCGTCTACGCAACGACGAACAATTGATACCTGCATGATTCTCCTTGCGGACGATGGAATTTGACGTATCCGCCCCGAGTGGACCTGGTAGCTATATCACCCCCACATGATCTAATTGTACAGCCAGTGCATTCGTCTGGCCAACGGCGCGCTCAGCCTGACGTCCCTTCTCTCCTACTTCTATTGCTACTGCTCTTTCTCTCCCTTGTATTCTCTTGATCATTGGCTGCATGGGCAAATGTCGGGACAATCAGATTCAAATTCACTAGCTCAGGTCCGCGGTTCCTATTGCGTCGCTCTCTGCTCTAACATTCGGGCGACCCACCAGTCACTCGACAATGCAGGCATTCATATGCAGCCCGGTGCGTTCATAGCCATCATCGCCGGGGCTGCGGTGCTCTTCATTGTCGCCGTTGCGGTCGCTATATGCGCGTATCAGCGGTCTAAACGTAGGAGCCCTACGTATGACACCGAGGAATCCGACATGTCGCTCGCGTCCTTCGCACAGCCCCGACCCACTCTCCCATCACATCGTTCTTCGAAGTCTTCTATGAATGCACGACATGCAAAGGAGAGTTTATTGGACCGGGAAGCCAGACAGCAGGAGGAAACGTATCAGCAATTATTGATCGACTTGCGCCAACCCGCATTCCGTGCTAGCCAGCCCCCACTCCCCGATCAGACGCCCAGATGGCCTTCATTTGGTGACTGGGAGGATCAAATGCGACCGAAAGAGACTGCTGCCAAGGTGTCGAGATCGAGCGACCTGAAACGCGGGCTGTCCTTCCGATCCCAGTCGTCTGTCTCGGAATACTCGACGGCCTCGGCTCCAAGAGATGCGCAGGGGCATACATATACGTCGTTCACCGCGCATCTTCCTACTGTTCCAGCATCACCAATGACGCCGACGGCTCCGAAATGGCCGTCCGCTCCAGGACCATACGCGTGGCCGAAGCGACCGCGGGTCAGTCAGATGCGGGACGCACTCGCGCCTGAAACATATGCCAAAGCGCGCTGGAAACCTGCGGATGCATCTCTTGGTCCAGTGGAACGAGGTCCTGTCGCTTAAGCTTCGCCGTCACAGGGTATGTGAGTCACTACGATTTTGGGCCATCATTAGGAGTGTAGGATCCCCAGAACACGAAGCAAATGGGTGAATCACGTCACTGCCTGGACTGTGTATTCAACAGTAATAGGCCATTTAACCATGTACGTAGCAAGATATAGCAAGATTATGATATCGATTTAGTCCTCTTTGGGATAGTCCACTACATCGTATAGCCTGAGCGTCTCGTTCCAGTCTCGCTTTCTCCTTCGTTTGAGAGAGAAGTATCGCGAGCCACTTTCCCATCTGCCCCGAACGCGTCCCTTTTCTTTCCCGCCATTCTGGAGGAAGTACGACTCGGGATTATCTGGCAACCCCAATGTATTGACAGCCAGACTCAAGATCCGGCGATGCAAATCGGATCGCTGTTCCCGCATCTTGTCCAAGCGTGGCTGTCCTACCAACAACAGACGGGAGAGGGCAGTGAAGGCTCGGAATGCAGCAACAGCATCTTCCAGCCAACGGAGAGTCATCCACATCAAGGCAGGCACAAGCATGAACGTGATGGGAGTGAATGGGAATGTCAGCAAAGACGCTGCCATCCAGACACAAAGCCCAGACATCAGCCCATAGATCAGCTTGTATTGAGCTATCTCATCGAATGTGTCAAAGACAGGTCCGGTCTGGGTGCGGCATTAATGATGTAAGCAGCGGAACGTACAGCCTCGACACGCACTTTCTTGAAATTGTGAACGGCATAGACTGTCGTGAGGAGCACCGGGATCCAAAGCATCAGCCCTGGCATTGAGATGGCGAACAAGCATATCGACCACACAAACCGAAGAATAATGCGCCCAACAACGACCCGCCGCGCAATCAACGGTCGCCGGATTCGGTCATCTTTGATGCCCCAGCGCGCCAGCAGATCTTGGTATGCTAACAGGTCCGCGCATAATTGTTTCAGTTCGGCTGTCTCGTCACAATCCTTCTCTTCCGGCTCGTCCAAGTCCTTGAATGCCTCAAGAAAGGTACGAACGACCCGCACGTGGTCGCCCAGCGTCATGCGTGTCCCCAACGGAGCATAAATCCGAGCAGCAAGTTTGCTGGCACGGACCAAGTCCCAAGATGGAGAATCAAGAGTTCCTGAGCTGATCTGATCTCCTCAAAATAAGCCGTTTGCACCTGCAATGTTTACTCACCTGCTCATGGATTTTGCCAGTCAGAGACCGAATGTCTTGGAAATCAACCGGGGCGAGCAGTTCTGGATTCATCTGACTAATCATCAGCATGGATGACACAGTCTTAGAAATGTCACGCACTTTGGGCGAGAATCTCATGGGAGGATGGAAGGTGACCAGGACATCCGAGCGCCAATGTTGCCTGTGCCTGAACAGAATGAATGGGTGGGCCTGGTACGAGGGTACGAGTCGACCCACATGTATGTGACAGAGCAGTTTTGAACCGCGATTTCAAAGCTTGGGTCGTCTCGGTTCCGCGTCAGGACATCTGACACAAGTCGTGCGACTAAAGGCCGAATGAGGTCATCGAACAGACTGAGGAGCGAGCCACGGACCGCCGGTCTTCAGTGGAGCGATGGTCGGGTGATACCGACTCATTCCTTCAGGGAAGAGGCAGACGGCATCTCCGAGTTCAAGCGCCTATACAATCCATGTCAAATCCGGACTTATTGGAGTCACCAGGCCAACCTGCATAAGCTTCTCCATAACCACAGTGTTGTCCTAAGCTTTGCATGAGATCGTTGAATGGAAAAGAATCAATATCACGCACAACTTGACTCCCATCTCCATAATCCTTCTTTCTCATTAACGGCACAGTCCCCGCAGATTCGATTAACCAAGAGGTAAAGGTCCGTTTGCCGAATTGAGTAGCTTTGGCTGTGAGACGGAGCACTGGCGCGTCTTCAGCCATATAGATGGAGAAAAGAGGGCCAATCCATTACAACTGCGCTGCTATAGACCATTTCATGCTCTTGAGACGCGACAAAATCTCTGTGCGCACCTTAGGCGGGATAGATGTGACGAGCATACTTTCAATCGTTCTAGCGTGTCTAGAGGTACTGAGAGGAAAGATACATACAGTGCATCGGTTAATGAGTTACTGTGGTTCGCGCAGACGACGCATGGGTTTCCATCCTTCGGTATGTGTTGCGCGCCTTCGACGACGATTGAACCATAGAATATCTTGAGAACGAATCGAAACAGTAGGCTAAACTAGTTCAAGCGAAATTAATAGAATACGTTGTGAGACACATACCGAATGAGAATGTATGACCAGGAGGCTGGAGTTCCTCCTCGCGCCATGGGAGCGAGCTCTGAAAGTAAGCACTGGTCCCGGCCCGGGGCCGCGCAGATAATCCTGATGTGATCAATGATCTAAAAGTTTTCCAGCCTTTCTCATTTCCCGAATCTCGAAGTCGAGGAGCATGGAGCAAGCTCTCGAAAAGATCCGTCCGCACACGACATCTGCATTAGCTCACCAGAAAACTCCCGCGACACTGCTTGTCGCGCTCGAATCGACCCTCCGAGAACACAAAACTGAGCCATCTCCTACCGCTTATTTCGCCGCGCTCTTAACTACACTCGATGGGACTTTGCAGAAGAACGATGTCGGGTTGGAGGACAGTGCGATATTGCCTGCGGAACTCTACCTGTTAGCTCTTGTAGCACCGTTCGTACCACCCGCAGTCGTGCGATCAAATCTGGAAACGATCCTCTCTCTGACTGCACCACTGTTCCCTGCCCTAGCACAACATGCACCTCCTTTACGATCGCAACTATCCCTCTATCAAATCCTTCTCCAGACACTCGATCGGTCACAGCTCGACGCACAAGGCGTCCGACAGACGTTCGCCTCCATTCTCCAGTTGTGTGTCGATCCGCGACCGAAAGTGCGCAAAAAGGCGGCTGAGATCGTCAGAGATGTACTTGCGCATCCGCCAGCACCTCTCTCTAGGCATCCGTATGCGGAACGTGTGGCAGAGTGGGTCAAGTCGGCGTTGGCGGAAGTTAGTTCGGGGCCATTCGCACGATCTAAGTCTGCTGCAGCACCTGTCGCCGCTGACTCGGCTATTCACGTTCTTGCGCTACTCCGGCCTCTATTATCACACCTTCCCCCATCTGTGCGTTCAACTTTCGTCTGACATACTCTTGATCTCATGGTTACTTGCGACAGGCTCTGCCCCCGCTCACAAACCTGCTCCTGAGCCTACCACGACTTGGCAACTCGTATCTGTCCCAATCATCCTACTCCCTCCTCGCCGAGATCTTCTCCCTGCCTGTTGATGATGAATCAACCGACACCGCAGATCAGATTTCCTCGGTTCTCCAGGCCGTGCTTTCCTCTCCTCCCTCCAAAGCCGACACGACCCTCGCACCCGCCTGGACACAGGTGCTCGGCACCGCCATGTTCTGCTATCACTCGACGAATCCAGAAGCTGCTACCAACGAACTGGGACGGGTATGGAAAGCTGTCTGGCCGTTCCTCGAGTCCAACGACGGAGCCACCAAGAAAGCTGCTGCTGAATCTCTTGCCTCGCTGACCAGCTGTATCACGGTCGAGATGGTGCAGTCGACCTTGGCTGAGACGGGCGAGACTCGTTCGACCACCGTGGGAAAGATCGTACAGCAGATCAGCAAGGCGCTCGATTCACTTCCGTATGCTGGCGCCATCCCCCAACTTTTGTCTGTTGTCTCTGCTCTGATCGTCAGTCTACGGTTCAAAGTAGGAGGCACTGGCAACAGTGCTACAGAGGCGTTACTCTTGCCCTTGATCCAGCACATCGGAGATCTGAGAGTGCAGAAAGGATTCGAGCACAAGGAGGATGCAGATGCCACGCTGGGAGCGGCCGTACGAGTACTAGGTCCCCATGTCTTGCTCGAAGTCCTGCCCCTGAACCTCGAACCAGCAGACAGGTAAGCACCATTCAACATCTCTTGCGCGATCTGATGACCGGCTTCTCCAGAACCGCCTCGAAAGAGCCCCGGGCGTACTTGCTTCCCCTCCTCGCCCAGCCACACCCGTCTCCGCTTTCACACTTCGTCGGCTACTTTGTGCCCTTGAGCGAGCGGATGTTTGGTTTGCAGCAGGAAGCGGAGGGCGAAGGACGACAGGCTCAGGTCAAACTATGGAGCGTGCTCATCGGCCAAATCTGGACTGGGTTGGTGGGATACTGCTGGGGGACCCCCGATCTCGCCCAATCCCTCAATCCGAGCTTTGCATCGCTGTTGTCCAACCTGCTTTATGGCCAGGAAGAACTGCGACCCTCTGTTCTGCGCGCTCTCAAGGTCCTCGTCGAGTCCAATATTGCGATCGCTGCTTCGGACGATGCATCCGAGACAGCTCCGACAAATCCGAGCAATCTGACCCCAGCTCAAGCACAAGCCAATTTGGAGCATCTGCGCACGCAGGCAGAAAGCTGGATGGCTGTATTGTTCAACGTCTTCAGTACTGTGCCTCGGGACAACCGCAACTCCGTGGGCGACGTGATCTCGGCTTGGGCTGGCGTGGCTGGGGAGAAGGTATGGCTTACAATTCTGAGATTCCCGAGCTGATGCTTTACTCAGGAAGTTGCAAAAGCACAGTCTAAGCTGGTTCAGCTGCTGAAAACCCATTTGGTTGCCCTGTCGAAACAGACTCACTCCAGCTCGATTGAGGGAGGAAGCGAGGCGGCCGTCACCCAGGACCTGATTCTTCTCCTGCTTCCGAGTCTCTCCACTGCGGACGCGCAACAACTTTTCGACCTTTGCCTGAGTGCGCAGGTGCTCGGTGCCCGAGACAACGGCGTTCAGAAGCGCGGATACAAGATTCTTGCCAGACTGGTCGAGACCGGGAAAGTGGATGTATCCCAGGATGGGCGGGCAGAGGTCGTGCTCAAGAAGATTGACGAACTTGAAGAGGGTCTTGCCTCCGCTGCGAAGAAGGTGCGCCCGTTCTACTTTTCGTATCTCCGCGAACTGACGGTGCGCAGGACCGGTTTACGTTGCTGACGCTTCTCATTCCGTTGCTCCCTCCGACTGCCATGCACATCATCCCCACCCTTATCCCTGAAGCCGTGCTGGGCACCAAGGAGCCCTCAGAGAAGGCACGCACAGCGGCGTTCGACTTGATCGTGGCAATGGGCCGGAAGATGAGCCAGGGTGGTGTCGTGAAACGCAACCTCGTGGACGGAATGGATCAGGACTCGGCTGAAGATACAACCGCCGACATCCAAGAGTTCATGACTATGGTCGCCGGTGGATTGGCTGGTGCGACACCTCACATGATCAGTGCAACCGTGACTGCCGTGTCCCGACTTGTGTTCGAGTTCAAAGGTCCGTTTCTCTCCTGGTGGAAGCGGGGTGGGCGCTCATAATCACCGCAGACTTGATTCCACCCGCCATGCACTCCGAGATCCTGTCCACTTTGCTTGTGTTTTTGTCGTCTGCCAACCGCGAGATCATCAAATCCACGCTAGGATTCGTGAAGCTGTCCATCCATACTCTCCCTGCCGATATCGTTCGGCCTCATCTGGCTGCTCTTGTGCCAGCACTCCTGGGCTGGTCGCACGACCATAAGAATCACTTTAAGGCCAAAGTCCGACATATCTTCGAACGCTTGTTGAGGCGATTTACCTGGGACGAAGTTTATGGCTGCGCGGGCGAAGACGAGGCCAGGAAAGTCCTGGTGAACATCAAAAAGCGCAAAGAGAGAGCCAAGAGGAAAAAAGCTGGGAAGGAGGAGGAGGATGAGGATGCAGTAAGCGTCATCCAGTGCTTATACGCCTAAACTCACACTGCATTCCAGCCAGCAGCGACGAAACCCGTTTCTGGTGATGCCTTCGAGGATGTTTTGTACGGCAGCGAGAGTGAGCTGGACGACAGTGATGAAGAAGAGCCTCAGCCGCGTCGGGGACAGCAGGACAAGAGGAAGGCAGCACAAAACAACATTCGGCTGCGTGTTGATGATGACGAGCCGATGGATCTTCTGCAGGGCGCAGCGTCGAGGGTTACTCGTGCGTCCAATGTCTGCTGCGGGAATCAGGCCAACTCACATTCTTTCCAGAAGGATCCTCTAACCGGCGCAAGAAACCCGGTGATGACGCCGCCCGCTTCAAAACGGACACGGACACAGGCAAGATGATCATCGATGGCGAGGAGGACGAGCAAGAGGACCATGCACAAGAGGACGTGGTGGGAACCGCTTACCAAGAAAATCTGACGTCCGTGGACGGCTTTACCCGCGGCGCCAACGGCCGAGTCAAGTTCAACAAGGACACCAAGAAACGGAGAAGAGAGAACGACGAGGCTGAGGGTGATGTCGAAATGGACGACGCCCAGGACAAGGGCAAAAAGGCCAAGCACAAGGGAGACCCCAAGTTTGGCCACGAATTCAAAGCCAAAGTAAGCCTCCTTCCCAAGCACGATCGATTTGTCTGACTCGGATTTAGAAAGCAGGCGGTGATCTCAAGAAGGGGGGTGTGGATCCTTATGCATACATGACTTTATCCCAAGCCGCGAAGAAACGGGGTCATGGAAAACACTCTAAGATGGGCATTGCCGGGAAAAAGTAGATCTCCTCGGTCATATCTGTACTCGTAGCCTCATGACTTTGGATTTCGGTTCACATTGCATGGCATCGGTCGAGACTGATCGATGTCTAGTAAAACTGGTGTAACAATACTTTATCCACTCGAGCTCATGTACCAATCGCTCTGCTCGTCTGGTCTGATAACCAGCGATGACAATCCACATACGACCGCTATCCTTCGGTCAATCGCGAGCGCGCTGGAGTTAGAGATCTGACGAAAATCAGATGCCAGTCGCTGACAAACATTTTCGGATCGGAGTCTCTTCGGCCCGTGCGAGGTCCTTCCCCGCATCTGCTTCCTCTCGACCACCATGTCTTTTGAAGGCCTCATTTCTGGTGCCGAATGCGCTGTGCCATTCAACCCTCTCTCTCAGGTCTTAAAGCACACCGAAGGCGATCGGAGTCTCCAACAGGTTCATCTACAGCGGATACAATGCGAAAAGTCATCTGCTAATGCGGACATTAGGATCGGATCGCGGGTCCTTCCTCCTCGCGAGTGCGTTGCCTCCGGAAAATTTCCCAATCCTCCCGTCTGACCTGCGACATAGCTGCACCAACTCCCGGGGACGACTACCGCGGGTGCAAGCCAGAATGATCTCGCCATGGCGCGTCAATTCTTCGAGTCCGCGCCCCTCGGAGGCACGGCCTTCGGAGCGCCCAATCCTATGGAGCTGGCAGCCCATCTGCAGCAACAAAACCCGCAACATATGACCCCGGCCAACGAGCGGTGGGTCATGGAGCAACAGCAGCAGATGCGCGCGTTCGAGTCGTCCGGGTGGGCCTCGGAGTTCGGCACTGGCGTACAGACGACCCCAGGGGGCTCACTCGTCCAGCAGCACAATTTATCACGTCCAGACTGTACGTGGAGGATGCCTTGGTTGACCGCATTTAATCACACGCACCAGTCCAGCCCCAGCAGACTTCCTATATGTCCTCCTTCTCGCAATACAGGTCTCCGATGGGAATGGACATGGGAATGTACAATGGTTCTGGCATGATGCATTCGATGCCGGTCCAGCTCGACAACAAGGGCAAGAGTCGGGAAGCCGACTTTGAGGCTGCGTTTGCTCAGGTGCTGGCCGCTCATGCGGAGGAGAAACAGCAATCTAGTCGCATAGAGGAGATACCTGAAGGTGAGACTGGGCTGGAGGAAGCCATGGACAAAGCGAGACTGGAGACTGGGGAAGAGACCACAGACTTCAAGCGGTGCGTGACTCGATGCACGGCGTTGACCCTCAATTCATATCGAACAGGGTATGGGATCAGTTGCAGAACTCGGACCTCCCTCCACCTGCTGAGGACATGGCTAAATGGGAGGCCCAATTCAACCAGCTGATGACTTCTGAGCGGGACGATCTAGATGCTGATTACGGGGCTGCCATGAAGAACGCTTGGGAAAGCGGCTTGGGAGATTTTTCTGAAGATCACACCGAATACAGTCCGACCAAATTCGATCAGTCCGGGATCCCTCTCCTTCCGGCATACGTGTTCGGTCAGTGTGTTGAATCTGGTCTACCCTGGATGTTGTGCTCATAAGTCGATCGTACAGAGGAAGAAAATAAATACCTCGCGGCGGACGCGCCCGTAAAATCCCATTTAAGCGAAGCCAAAGCTCTGCTTGAGCAGAATGGCTCGCTTACCGAGGCAGCGTTGTTGCTCGAAGCTGCGATTCAGAAGGGGGAAACGGGTGAGGGTGGTTATGAAGCCTGGATTCTTCTGGGAGAAACGAGAAACATGGATGAACGAGAAGAAGCCGGGATGCGGGCACTCAGTCAAGGCGTGAAGCTCGCGCAAGAAGCGGGAACGCCTGGGTTGGGGATGCTTGTGCGTTCCATGCTGGTGGTCTTCGTGTCTTCTCAATACATCCCTAGTCGCTTGCGATCTCGTATACAAACGAGTCGATGGATCGGGCCTCGCACACGATGCTTCTCCGCTGGATTCTCGCTCGGTTCCCCAGTCACCCTGTGCCCCCAGAAACGTTGACTGCGATATCCAGCAACGCGTCGTGGGACACTCACGCGCGGCTGACCGAGGTGTTTTTGTCGCTAGCGCGTGACCAGCACAGCCGTGGGGAGATGGACCCGGATGTGCAGATCGCGCTGGGGATATTGTTCTACACGAACAGCGAATATGACCGGGCCAAGGACTGCTTCGAAAGCGCATTATCGGCACGACCCAAGGACTTTGTGCTGTGGAATCGATTCGGCTCTTGTCTGTCGAACGGCAACCACCCAGAAGAAGCGCTGGGCGCGTATCGCGAAGCTCTCGAGCTCCGCCCAACATACACCCGTGCGATTTACAACGTCGGGGTCGCTTGTGAGTTCTCGCGCGAATGGTTTGATACGGGCCGGCAACGATTCTGATTTTGTGCTCACAGGCCTGAACATCGGAGCCCACAAGGAAGCGGCCGAGCACTTTATGAGCGCCCTGAATATGCAGCATATGAACGGGGGTGGCGACACCAGCGAGCAGCTCTGGTTCACCCTCCGCCGTGCATTCCTGGCTATGGATCGGACAGATTTGGCTAATCTCACCCAGCCTGGCCCAGCGCGTGGCGACATGCAGGTCTTCCGTGCCGAAGGTTTCGACTTTTAGCGGTGTGATCAGGCATGTAACTATCTACATAGACCAATATATCAAGTGAGTCAGACATGAGTCGACGGTCACTCGAATGCTTTCATGCATATCATTGTTCCACATCGGGACCTGCGCGGTGAATCCATCCATCCGTTCACTGACTCCTATTCACCCAACATTGCCGCGCGAATGTGACAGGAGACGCAAGAATTGAACCGCCCCTGTCGTTCATAGGCCAACCTTAAATAACTTGAGCCCGGCATTCCTGACAATTCAAGCGACCTGTACATGTCTTCCCATCTCTCCACCCTCCCCCTCGCCAGTGATACCACCGCTGTCTCCGATCAAACTCCTGACGAGTACGAGAGGACAAGCTATTATAACGGCATCACTGGGGATGACGACCATCCATATCTCATCTACCGTTCGGACTACCTCACCACACCCTTTCCCAGGCCCGTCGGCAGACACACACATCTCTCTGTCAAGTCCCTCCGGGGAGTCTTTGGCACCCCGCTGAATGGTGTCTGGGACACTGTTGGTCCCCAAATCCGTGATCTGATCAAGGCCCACCACATCCGCTGGACGTCCATCAACCCTGCCTGCTTTTTCACTCATGGACCGCTGGAAGACAGGGCCAAGGGCAGTCTCGGTCCTGTTGTCATCTGGATTGGTGTCGCTCCTTATTTTTTATTAAATCATTTTTATTTTTCCCCTTTCGTCGTGGTCGACATGGTAGGGACATTGCGTACACGAGATGTAAGTAGGTATTAGGCATCGTCCGTGGGTATGTGTCTATGTCATAAGCCGTGGCGCGCGGGCAAGCTCGACACGCCCTAGCGTGTGCACGCTATGGTGGACCAAGGTCCTGCTCTGGTGTAGTGAGCGGTGATAAATATAAAATTACAGTACCTGGGCTGCTGCAATGCTATGGTCGTTAGGCAGTGTTGGTGGGCTCGTGCACATCGGGGAGGTCTCCGAATACGGTCTGGAATCGGCGGGTGCGCAATACAAAGCGTAAGAGGTGTGGGACAGTGTTAGGATCGGATAGTAGTGCTTTGATGCTGCGAGCGTTTCGACCGACGCATCGGTGAAGCTCGCGTCGCGCGTTGTGATGGGCAGGGCAGCGTAGGAGATAGTGTGCCACAGTTTCATCGTCGCGGTTGCAGCATGGGCATATGGGTGAAGCGGCGCGGCCAATCTTGTACAGGTGCCGGGCAAGGATGGAATGTCCGGATCGGAGTTGAAATAGGACTGACACGAGTTTGCGGGGGGACTCGGAGACTAATGCGAGGAAGCCGCCCGAAAGAGCTTTTGGGAGGACATATTTCGTTTTGGCGTAACGCGGTGAGGCTCTCCATTCGCTTTGTGTCGCCGCTTTGATTTTCGCAGTATTGGCTTGGATGAGGGCCGATTTACTGAGCGGGAGCGTTCCTCGCAGGATATTTGGTAGTCGCATGTCCCGTTTGGTAGTCGCGGCTGGGGTGCATCGCTTCTGCGCGGCTCTCCTAGCGAGTTCGTCCGCACGTTCGTTCCCATGAATATTGCAGTGTCCCGGCGCCCACTTGAAGGTTATGTCAATGTCGGGTTCGGTGCTAAGTAGGTCGTCAATAGCAGTGTGTAGGGCATCCCATATATAGTGCGAGGGGGTCGATTCCCGGCTCTGCGTGGCCGTGATGGCAGCCGTGTTGTCTGCGTAGATAGCCACCTGCCCTGTGATGCCGTTTGACGCATGCTCGCGCAGCAGCCCCACCGCCAGATTGAGGCCTAGTCCTTCACCCTCGTAGACCGTATGCTCCTCGCTGGTGCCCAAGCGCTTCCGTGCTGTTGCCATTTCCGTGTCGCCGTCGTATAGCACTGCAGCTGCCCCTATATAGCCGTCAATTCCCGATCCATCCGTGTATACCTTCCATCTGGTGTTATCGTCCGCCTCCCCCTTGATAGCTTCCTCCTTCGAGCTCCGTATCTCAATGGCCGTGCGTGATTTCCAGCCCAATCCGAATCGAACTGCCGATATCTTCTCCATCTTCTCTGCATGTATGTCAAATTCATTGGTGAGTTCGTGTAGGGGGGTTTGGTGCTTCTGGACATAACGCATCCCTGCGTTTGTGACGGCTTTGTTGAGTGGGTGCGCCATGGGCAGCGTAGCGAGGCGTGCAATGGCTCGATGCCGTGTTTTTGTAACTAGGTGGTGGACGGGTAGTAAGTTCGCGTGCGCATCAAGGGTGTCGGTTGGCGTGGAGGATAGGGCACCGGTGATAAGGATAGCCGCTTTTCGTTGTATTGATCGTAGTTTGGGGAGGATATCTCGCGTAGCGGAACGACGGGCTCGGGAGGTGGAAGCATTGAGGAACACGTCGGCTCCGTATAGCATTCTTGGCACACACGTCGCCAGGTATAATCTTCGGATCTGCTCTGGGCGTATGCCCCTCGACGGACGTGCCAGTCTCGACACAGTTGTCAACCAAACCATCCCTTTCCCTACTGCTGCAGCTCTCTGTTCCTTCCATCGCAGTTCCCGGTCGATGTGTATGCCGAGGAGCTTCACTGATTTGGCGGACTTAATCATGTGTTGGCCTAGCTTGAAGTCCGGTCGTGGCATGGGCGCGGTCCTCCGTGTTCGGAAGGTGTCCTTCACACGTTTCCGTGTTGCATCGAGCAATTGGTACTTTGCCGGTCCAAAGATGGCGTTGTGGTCCGCTGCCCACTTGTCGATGCCATTGGGGCCTTGGATAAGTCCTCGAAGAGCCCTGTGTGTGTCACGAAATGATTTCCCCATGGTCACAATTGTTTCGTCGTCGACAAATGTGACTCCGTGTTCCCCCATCTCTGGCTGCGGGATTTTGGCCAATCCTGCATTGTAGATCATATAGGAAATTCCCGAGTGTGGGTCTCCTTGGTCCAGTCCATTCTTCACTTCGAACGGCTCTGATACAAATCCGTCAAACGCAATGACCGCCTGACGGCCCTTGTATCGTCGACGCATCCAGTCTGTGTGTTCTTTGGGGACTCCAGCCATCCGCATCTCGTGGATCAAGACTTCCAAATCAACGCTTGGAAACGCACCTTTTACATCCATGCACAGAACGCTGGCCACCTTTCCTGCCCTCCACGCATCCTTGATGACTTTGACGACTGTGTGTATTGCATCTGTTGTCGATCGGCCTGGGCGCGCTCCGAACTGGGATGTTGGTAGGATTCCTGCTCGCTCTGCTTGGGTGGTGATATGTAGGGTCCGCGCGGCGTTTTCGAGGCCTGCGTGTCCTTTGGACAGGACAATGGGTCGGAAGCTGGCGGCAGCTGTGTAGTCTGTTTTGCCAGGTTTTCTGAGGACAAGTGAGTGCACCAAGTTCCAGCCCTTCGGGTAGTAATTGAAGCAATCGCCAGCGCGAAACACGGCGCCCAGCCTTGGGACAAGGAGGTCGGCATTGTTTTTGTATACGCAATTTGGGATGGATCCTGGCTGTCGGGCTTTGTATGGCTTGAGGCGCTTGATCGTTTGGTAGAGGATGTCATCAGTGAGTGGAGACCATTCATATGCCGCCTGGGGGTATGCTGCTTCGTTGACCGCCGGCGCTGGTGCCGTCTTGTCCGGGAAGAACTCCCTATGCAGCGCTTTGGCCTTCTCCTTGTTGGTAGTGGCCCTGACATTTCTCCCGTTGGTGCGTGTGATCAGGTCTGGGATTCTCGCACGCCCTCCATCCGATGGTGGACCCTCCACCATTCTCTGGACATTCCACACATCTGTTGGGGTCAGTGCGTCTAGCCATGTCAGCCAGTGATCCCGCTTGACGCGCTGTAGCTCTGTTGAAAAGGCCTTCCTTGCTGTACGCATATTTTCGTGTATGGGGTGGTCAGGGATATGACGGTGTGTGTACGAGCAGCTCTGTGCCTTCCGCAGTTTCTTTCGCAACTGGGATAACTCGTTCGTCCACCATCTCTTCGAATTGGGGCAGGGCTTCGTCATCTGTACGTGCTGGGTTATGGCCTTCTCCAGTGCATTGTCAATGTGCCGTATCTCTTCCTCAATATCTGCCGCATTGGTTATATTGATTTGCGGCCAGGCCTCCAGGGCGGTGCAAAGTGTTTTGCGAAACTCTTCCCAATCAACTGCATGCCAATTGGGTCGCGGGACGAACTCTGCGTACCCAATCTCAGCCTGGATGGCGAACTGTACTGGGAAGTGGTCAGTGTTTATAGGGCGCTGTCCTGGGTTGGTGGTGCAGCGGATGAACGCTTGAACAAGAGCGTCTGAGCAGAACACATTGTCAACCCGGGTGTGGTTCTTTGTTCGGTGCGCACGCAGGGTTGGCAGATCCTTTGGCAGAGCCATGAACATCCTGTACCGTCCAAGCATGGTCAGTAACTTGTTTGTAAGCATCCCGTTCCGCGCAGTGAACAGATGTTGATTTCTGTCTTTGTCCCACAGTGGGTGGTGGCGATTGAAGTCGCCGGCCCATATGTACTGTATTGGGTGTCCGTTGCGGTTGCGTTGACGTGGGTCAGAGAGGAATGCGTCCAGGACGTCTAGGGAGTTGTTGTGATTACAGTCGTTGTATATGTTGATGATGCGTAGGATTCCGTCCGGGAGGCGCAGTTCAATACCAGTGACGTCATGGGAGGGGAGTGAGATCTGGGACCATATGGACGAGGGGATGGTGTTGGCGACAAGAATCACAGAGCGGGTAGCGCCTGTCGAGGTTGCATGGGGTGTTGGGTATATGGTGGTGTAGTGTAAGTTTGCTCGCGAGACTCCTCGATGGTCGATATGGGGTTCTTGAATCAGAGCAATGTTGTACGTGTCTGGTGTGATGGTATTCACAAATTGGTTCTGCGCCAGGAGATTCTTGTTCATGTTTTGCTGCCAGACATTGAGTCGTCGTCCACGCCAGTAGGAGTGTGTGTTCTGATTCATTGTGTGTTCTCCTGGCTGCCCTGGTGGACAGGTCTGCTTAATTGCGGTGGCGGGAATTGTGGCGGGCCCATGTCTCCATCCCCTAGCTGGTCGCTCCATCGGCTGTGCCTGTGGCGTCCGTCAGATGTCTCGGAGCGGTCTGCTCCTCCTAGCCCGAATTTAGGCTGATATTCAACCGGCGTCATTTGCTCAAAATCATCCTGCGGGGCAATGCGCTGGAAGTTCAGCGTCGTCTGACGGTACCTGTCTGGTGGGTTGTTTGGATTTCTGCCACCAAAGGATCTTGTGGCAGCCGCTGTCATTGCCGCTGCTTTGAAGGCTGCACTTTGAGATGGGATTCCCGGGCGCAAGGCTGTGGGTTGTGGGCGATTGGCTGCCGTGTTTCCGCCCTGAAAAGTTGCCGCTTGATCCTCAAGATCCGGGGCGGGTGCATCTAGAGTCTCCCATGAGAGTGGGTCATCGTGAGTTGGGAAGTACGCGTAACGCGCATCCGGATTTCGCTGAAGGGATCGCTGTAAGGTTGTCGCAAATATCGGACAGGTTCGGTCAGCGGCTCCATGCCCTCTGTGTGACTTTCCATGTATGCGGCAGTTTGAGCAGGCACGATTTGTGTCCTCTGCCTTGCAGTCGCTGGTGCGATGCATTTCTCCGCATCTCGCACAGGTTTCATGTACAGACTTGCACGTCTTGGCTACGTGGCCAGTGTTGAACAGCTGACATTTGACGCACCTGACGGGCTCGCTGAGGAGCTTCCTACAGGTCACTTTCTTCCCCTCAATGAATAGCCCATGACGTATCGCACGATTTGCTGCATTTGCAGTCGCGAGACCCAAGATGACATGAGCTACCAACTGTCCGTCTTTCCGTCTGGTCGGGTCCTTGATGTATTTCGCCGAGGTAAAGTCGCCGCTGTTGTATCCGTTCCCATCCTCCAGTTGGGTGAGTCCTGTTTCCGGCTCGAAGGATACAGGCACAAAGTCAGCCACAACCATGTAGCTCTTCGGTTGATGTTTTGCGGTCGCACTGAACTCGCTGAGGAAGAGGCGCATGTGAGCCGGAATCTTCATCCACTCTGCGGCAGCCGTGGAGGACATGTGAATGACCAGTTGTCCCGACCTTGTTCTTGATGTCCCAAGTGGCTTGTACACCTCGACCGGGACGTCCGAGGTTTCTATTTCCTTGACTTTGTCCAACGCGAGGCATATCTTTGCTAGCGTTTCCTTGTCCGTGAGTTTTGCCCAAGTCGGTGGCTCGTTTGCGTTGTCGCTGCGCAGGGTGACTTGCTTCTCCCGTGCATGAGTGTATGCAATGGCTGCAGCGTGTTTTGAGAGTGTTGCGCTAGGAGTGCGTCGGGCAGCATCGGCGTAGGAGGGGATTGCCTGCAGAGTTGCGAGGCCATCGTTGGTTGCGTGGCCCATTCGTGCTGCGCCGGCGTCGGCTTTTGAGACAAGATCCTCCATCTGAGTGTCCAGCTTTTGGACCGCTGTCTGCAACGCGTTGCACTGCTCTTCCACTGTCCTAGTCAGATTCACTGCTGCGTCCTTCAGATTCTCCGCGTCCCCCGCCATTTCTTCCTGCTCGTGACGGAGTATCTTCAGTACGTCCTGTATTGCCGCGGTGTTTTCGGACAGGGCGGCCAGTAGTTGTGCGTTCATCTGCTCGAGTATGTACGCTGTCACTTTCAGCATGTCCGCAACAACGGCGGACAGTCTGGTAGTCATAGACGCACGCAAGATTGCAAGGGTTATGTCTCCCATAGCCAGCGTATTAGCCACGTCGACTCCCAGGAATCCCTTCGCGATGAGGTATTTCCTTCCCTCTGCCAGGTCCGCTCTATTCCAGTCAATACTCGTCGATTCGTACATCTGCTCCCTGGTAAGTTCCGTATGTAGGTGCATGTCTCTGCTGGGTAGGCTGCGTGTTGGCAGCCCCGGTCGGGGGTGGCTTGTTGACGTTCACCTCAGTCAAAACGAGGACAACTTTGGGGCAGATGACGGCAAAGATGACTATGAAGACACTGGATATGCAGATCTCTAGAAAGTAGTGTAAAGCCTGAGTACGCGACACGCGTCTTAATGAGTGTTCCTGTCAGATCAGGGGGAGCTGTATTGCATTCGGCGAGCTGTACTCAAGCATCGTGCGGACTCGGAGTTGGATAAGCTTGAGATTGAACGTTTATGGGGGGCTATCACTCATTATGTACTGAAATTGAATACAGTCCTCGATCCGGAGACTTGTCCTTGATTACAGTGGCTGTTACTCATGAGAACCAGCCGTGCTAACATATATGTATGAGAGATTAATCAGTCTGCTTGGTGCTTCCCGGACACTGCGCAGTCTGATGACTACTAGCGAGACTGATTGTCTTCCGCTGAGCCCAGTGACCGACTCAGTGCAGCTCACGAGCAGCTGATGAGCCGGATCTGCGCATCAACGTCGTTGATCATATCACGATCACCATCAGCGCTCATACGCAGTTGTCTAATTTCCTGATGTGAGTCAGTGTACCAACATGGCGAATAAGGGGTGGGCCGGCCAGCTTCTGCGGGACTGCCTCGTGCCATTCCACAACAGTATCTTGCACTCCATTCTTCACCAGGAGCGCAAGAATCTCTTGTGAGACATCATGGGCGGCAGCAGAGGAGGTAGACCCAGGAGCGACACCGGATCTCTCTTGGCAACAAACCACCACGTGCTCGGACCAAACGCCACTTCACCGCCTCTGGAAGTGGTCGCGTCTCCGAGTCGGGGTAGTCCTTAGCTTCTTTCTGAACTCGTAACTAGAATACATTGGACATGTCGACGAACGGACGCGAGAAAAACACGCCACCAGCATCACAAATGCAGCGTACAACGTCAACACCTCAGTTACCACCGCCAACCCCCCATATAGACCCCGCGGAGGACCTCCTGGGTACCCTTAGACGTAGCTCTATGGGTACCCAGGAGGTCCCCCCCGCGGGGGTACAGGGGGCAGCTGGCCATTTTGGGGCAGGGGGATGGGCGGGGGTCAGGACGGGGGTCAGGACGGGGGTGCCCATACATACCATGTGACTTGTCCATAAGAGCGGGCAGCTGGGCGGGAAAAAAAAAATCAATCACATGATGCACCAAATGGGCGGGATGGCGGGAAAATCACGTGATGAGCTGCAGGAAAAATTTCAAAATGGCGGGGGTTGGCAGGGGCGTTGGCGGGGGCGCTACCGCCCCTCCCGCACACTGCAGCGGGCAGTGGGCGCATTATCACGTGACTTTTTGGGGGCCCCTTTTTGCACCATTTGGCATGATTTTGGAGGTGCTGCTTGATAGATTGCATGTTGTGGCAGACAGTGGGCGCAAAATCACGTGATTTTCCGCCAAAAAAAAATGGAAGCCTCTCTAACTCATCCCAGTATAATTTCCATAGGTAAATACACTAATTGACCATGCATTTGAGCTTAGAAAACCCCAAATGCACCCTGCACAATAGGATTGTTGATGCACTTGATCCCATCATCTGGCGGGGTCTGCCGCGGGGTCAGTCTGGCATATTCTATATTTGACCTCCTTTAGCCGTAGCAGTAGTGCTGCTGACCACCAGGGCAAGAATACAAACATTTATGAAATATCTTATCAAGGTAGACAAAGCCAATAGGGAAGGTGAAGATGTGTAACTGGATATTGCAATTGATGCAGGGCCCAGTGCGGGGTCTGGTGCGGGGTCTGGTGCGGGGTCTGATGCGGGGGGTCTGGTGGGGGAGCAGGGGCAGGGGTGGATTACACAAAATTTTGATGTATCTACTCTGGCTAGGGTTGTAGAATATCACGTAACTTTTCTCTATTTTGGCAGGGAATGGGGGATAAAGATGCACAACATTGCCCGCATGTTTTGGCTGGGTCTCCAGGTCAAGTCATGTGATTTACCAATGTTTCGGTGGGGGGTAGGAGATTAATGGATGATGTTACCTATATAATCCATGGCATGTGAAGTCAAGCAGAACATGTGATTTTCTCATTTTTTGGCTGGCAGGATGGGTGGCATAGTAGAATTGGCAGACCAGGGTCCACACTCCACTCATTGATTGTTTGCTTTACCCATTTAATATATATGTGTAGCACAGTGGTATCCATTTTTGGAGCTTGTAATAGAACATATTAGGTACACATCTCATCCCCCCCTTCCTGGCTGAATGCACTTGAGGTTTGAAACTTGTGTGTTCCCTTGCAAGCAATCTGCTTTGTGACAATCAACCCAAAAACAAAGTCGAAAAGAGAAGTGAATTCGAAGACTGGAGAATACAACCAAGTAGCTACAGTATTTATACCCAAATCCAGTCTGAGTCATATCTACAACTAATGAGTCATAGGGCTATGTACCGCATGGAACGCTGGTCATGGGTCGTAGTAGAACCTTCTGGAGCATATGTCGTGCAGCCTCGAATCGATGAAGATAATCCCTGGAACCCCTAGTCCGGGCCGTCTGATGCCGTGATCCGTGATAAGATAAGTCGTGTCAGGATAAGATCGTCGATGATAAGATGAAAAAGTGGCCGAACTATGACATTACCCCCTCTCTAGGGTCGATGTCCTCATCGACTAGGCCAATGGGCAAGAAGACGTTCTCGTAAGGGTCGAAGAGCTGTCGTTGGGGATATGGAAGGCGCTCGTCCCTGGGCTTGTAGCGATGAATGAGATAGTCCCAGTGTCCAGCTTCGAGCGTTGGCAGGAGGCGAATGCGTGTGTCTGGATTTGATTGTTTCCTCTGCCAGTCTCTCAGGACGTCCTTCGCGTGGGTAAGGTGACGTGATGGTTCCCAGGTGTTTTCGCTGTGCGGCCATCCCTTCCATTTGACCAAGTACTGTTTTCCTCGGCCGACTTTTCGCTCTTTCACGATTTCTTCGACTTCCCACTCCTCTGCTCCTCCGATCATCTTGGCCACGGGTCTCTTCTCTCGGCGATGGGGGGGTGGTTCGTGATAGGGTGTCAACAGTGACTCGTTGAACACCGGGTGTCTTTGGTCCGTGTCCGGCAAATTCAGCTTCCATGCAGCCGCTCCGACCAGTCCGTCTGATGGTAGTTGACGTAAATGCGGAGATAGTGTTCGATCTCCTGATTCATACGCTCCGTCTGCCCATCCGTGATGGGGTGATATGCGGTCCCCGGATTCATTTCCACGCCCAACATCCGATTCGTTTCCTTCATAAAGCCCTTGATGTATCGAGAGTCCCTGTCGGTGATGATTTTGCGGGGGACCCCGTGATAGCGGAAGATTCGGTCCCTGGTTAACCGTGCTACTCCTTCGCTGCTGATGTCAGTACTAATTGGTTCGACATGGATCATTTTGGTGAAGGTGTCACACCACACATGAATTGCGTCATACCCGTTACTGACCGGCAGGGGTCCGATCTGATCCATGGAGATGATTTCCCACGGCGCGTTTGGAACTGCATGCGGGTGCAAACTCCCTGTCCTGGCTCTTCTGGTCTTGGTCCGCTGGCACGCCTCGCACGTCTGGATGTATTTCCGAATTTGGTTTCCCATCCTTGGCCACCAGTAGTTCCTTTCCACCATCTCCTGCGTTCGGTTGATCCCAGCGTGTCCGACCAAAGGTGTGTCGTGGTGTAGTCCGATGATCTTGTCTCGTAGCTCCTCATTCCTCGGCACGTAGAGCTTCCCATGGTACGTGATGAGCCCATCTTCCTTTTTCCATCCGACGAGTGACTTCTCCAAGGCCGCTTTGACGCTTCCATCAATTGATCGAGTAGCCTTGATCTCATCGATTAGCTGCTGATCTTGCCCCTCGAATGTGACTTCTTGTGACCGGAAGAATTCGGGTTTCAGCAGAGTGATATCCTTGTTGTCGTTCTTGCCCTGATCGTGATCCGCTCGTCGAGATAAGAGATCCGCCTTGCGGTTGAGTGCGCCGGGTCGGTGTCGTAAGGTGAAATCGAATTCTGCTAATTCTGTGATCCATCGTGCTTGTCGTCGGTTGAGCTTTTGTGGCTTCCGGAAGTATTCGAGGTTCTGATGATCAGTGAAGATCTCAAACGTTTCTGTGGCCCCCAAGAGTAGCTGCCTCCATTCGTCGAGCGATAACATGATTGCAAGCATTTCCTTGTCGTAGATCTCGTAATTTCGCTCGGTTTCCGTTAATGCATGCGAAATAAATGCAATTGGGCGCCAAATGCCGTCTTGGTTTTGGCTCAAAACAGATCCTGTTGCCCCTTCCGAAGCATCGGCTTCCAGACGATATTGACCGGTGTCATTTGGCAGTGCTAAGACGGCATCCTCCGCGATTCTCTTCTTTAACCCATCAAACGCCGCATGTTCATCCGGACCCCATGACCATCCTGCCTTCCCTGTCAGCCGCGTCAACGGCTTGGCGACCTCCGCATATCCCCGAACAAAACGTCGATAGAAGTTTGTGAATCCGAGGAAGGCTTGGACTTGTTTGACGCTCTTTGGTTCCGGCCATTCCATCACGCCCTTGATCTTGACAGGGTCCATCCGCATCGAGTTGTGTCCAATGATTACACCCAGGTATTCGATTTCCGTGCGTTCGAACTCGCACTTTTCCGGCTTCAGGTATAATTTGTGCTTTTGGAGCAACTCGAGTACCCGTTTGGTGATTCGTCGATGTTCATCCAGATTTTCTGTGAAGATTAGTATGTCGTCCAGATAAACTACCACATGTCCCTCGTTGATCAGTTCCCGGAGTATGTCGTTCATCATGTTTTGGAAAGTTGCCGGGGAATTCGTGAGACCAAAGAACATAACCAAGGGCTCGTAAAGTCCGCGGTTTGTGCGAAACGCAGCCTTCCACTCATCGCCCTCTTTGATCCGTACGTTGTTGTATCCCCACCGGATGTCTAGCTTGGTGAAGAAC